GGACCATGAGAAGCTTTAGAACCCATAAACTTGTCATACCTTCCTAACTTCTTTATATTGATAATTGCATCTCAGGATGCTTGGTTGTACATCATTCATTGCCAAGACTTTAAAGCATGATGCGATTATTGTTACTGATGGGTGCGTAGTCCTAGATGTTCCTTATTCTTTGGGTACATCTAAGAACAGGATGCTGCTCCAGGTATAGCAAAAACCCTACAAAGAGTAGGAAGACAGCAAGGATGACTTATTACAAAGTGGAATTATACCTTGAGATATGTGGTGGGCAGTTTGGGTAAGGCCAAAACCTCAAGCAGCTGGGGATTGGGGTTATATTATCCAATAGGGTCATACTACTGGTATTGAGAATCAGAATCTTCTGCCCCTTGGTGGCTTCTCTCTTAATGGCTTGATAACTGCACAGTGGCAGGCTGAGTATGAGGAGTCTTTTGCCTGTGTTTTTGAGAAAGTACCTGCACATTGGATCCTCTTGGACTTTCAGAGGCAAACATAGAGATGATGTCATCATCCTCAAGGCCTAAGCCTGACCCTGATCTAGGGAATGAGATCCTTGAAAGTCCTTGAAGACTTAAAAGCTACTATTTGACCATTGGCCTAGGGTGTGACCAATTATGGTTTTGGGGAATGGAATCTTGTCCCTCACGGCATTTCCTTATTCCTATTCTCACCTTATCTTTCTGCTCCAGCTAACTTAAGGTAAAAAAAAAGTGCAATCAAGGAGACACAGACTGGGTACCAAGGCTCACACTTGCAATCCCAGATACTCTGGAAGACAGAGGCTCAAGGCCAGTCCCAGGAACAAAGCTGGGATTGGTGGCATGCCGGTGACCCCAGCAATGCTAAAGCTAGTAGAAAGGAGAATCATGGTTAGAGGCTTGCTCCAGACTAAACCTAATGAGCCTGGCGGGGGGAGGCATAAAGGGAAAAACTAGGGAGATGGAAAGAAACAGAGCCTGTGGATAAAACATGGCTTCTCATCCTAGCTACTCAGGACGCTGAGATCTGAGGATCGGGGTTCAAAGCCAGCCCGGGCAGGAAAGTCCGTGAGACTTTTATCTCCAATAAACCACTAGAAAACCGGAAGTGACACTGTGGCTCAAGTGGTGGAGCACTAGCCTTGAGCTGAAGAGCGCAGGGACAGCGCCCAGGCCCAGAGTTCAAGCCCCACGACCGACCAAAAACCAAAAAACAACAACAACAACAAAAACATGGCTTCTCTTCCTGAAGGGTCTGTGAAGTTGAGGAAAGTTCTAAAAAAGACAATGCTCCTGATGACCCTGGAGCACACCTGGGCAGGTGACAGATGCCATTCCCCTTGGAGTGCAGTAGACAATGACTGAACAAGATGCGAGAATTTGGGGAGGGGAAGGTAAATAACAAAACGCTGAAATAACGATAGAGGTTGACCCATGGTAACAATGAGATGTACAAGACACTACGTTGAAAATGAACTTTACAACTTGGGTGGGGGGAGTTGGGGAGGTGGGAAGGGAAGGGATGGTAGGGGAAAAACAAGGAGGTAACAATACTGTATAAGAAATGCACGCATTACCTTACTCATGTAGCTGTAACCCCCCTGCACAGTATCTATAAGATGTGAAGATTAAGGTTCAAGGCCAGCTTGGGCAAGAAAGCTGTGACTCTTAACTCTGGTAATCCCACCCCTCCCCACCGCCCCCCCCAAATCCAGAAGTGGAGCTGTGGCTCCAATGATAATGCAAAAACGAAGCTCAGAGACAACATGGGCCCTGAATTCAAGCCTCAGGATTGGCACTTACACACACACACACATACTAAATAAATGAAAGAAAAGAAAATGGAAAGATCTGGCAAAACAACAACAACAACAAAACCACAGGACTTCCATCTTGGGTAGCAATCTGACCACCTAGGAAAACATACTAGTGAAGCGTTGGCCCTGCCCACACACTTTCATGGGTTTGGGGACAATAGCTGTTTCCAAGGAAAACAGAACTCTGTACAAAAGTGTGAACTAAGGTGTAGTATATTCAAGAGAGGGTTCCAATGTGTAACTCCTTTGAACAACTGAGTAGCATGACAAGGGTGGAAGGGTGATGTCAAGGGAAGGGGGTTGGAACAAGGAAGAGAGGAAGGATGGGCGGATGCAGTCATGGTAGTCAATGTGAATGTGTGTGTGAAATGGAACTAGATAAGTTGAGGCAATGTGGGGGGGTGGGTTGGGAAAGAGCTGAGAAGAATGATGAAAGGGGTGACATTTAACAATGTTACATTATACCCATAACCTAAGCTGTGGAATTAAAATCCATTTGTACATCGACTAAATGAAATAATAATAAAGATTATGATGCATTGTACTCATAAATAATAAAAAAAAAAGAACAGCTGAAATTTGGCCAAGCTATAAAAAATGAGCACACCTTCCCTTCCTTCCCTCCCCCCCCCCCCCCCCCCCAACCCAGGAGCCTAAAGGACATCAGCAAACCAGTTAGGCAGCTTGCCCCTCCCCCACCAGTGGCCACCGCCCAGGGGAGTGTCTTGGGTCTTGCCCCAATCCAGGATAGCCCTGCTCCAAGCTACCACAAGGGGAAGGGCCTTAGGTCCTGCTGTGTCTCTTTCTTGGACCACCACTCAGGAGAGGGACTGGCCTGTTTCACACAAACCAATCCTGAGCCCAGGCTAGCCTATCATCATGTGGCCACTGCACTGGAGAAGGTCCAGCCTGCTTCAAACCTCTCAATCATAATCTGACAGATTGCCTGAAGGGAAGAAAGAAAGCAGAGAGGAGAAAGAGGGGCAACATAAAGCAACAGCCCAGGACCCCAAGGAAGACAGCTGGTTTTCAGGTCATTCTTCGGAGTAGCTCTTACTTTGTCTTTGCTAAATAAACTCTTTAAGAACAGGAATAAAAATAAAAATTTAAAAAGACAAAAAATACTCTAAAAATACCAGGACTAATGGTATTATTTTGATACTACTGGAGAACAAGAATCCACCGTGTTCTCATCTTGTGCATCCAGCCCACAGTGAGATATTGATTTCCAGGCCCCACCTCTTCTTCTTGTGATTTGAGAAGTCTGTATTTTCCTTTCTCTTCTTCCTCCTTGCCCTGGAAACAGGTGGACAACCTCTTATGGCCTAGAGCAGGCCTGGCCAACCTGGAGTCCACGTTGAGGGCTTGTACCAACCCACCTGGAGCTCAGAGGCTCTCCTGATTAGTTCTCCTGAGAGTGTTGTCATAAAGAGCAAACCTGAGCCAGAGCGCTCAGTCTTGCTGGCTTGCTGTGGCTGCTCTCCCTCTCACGTATGCTCTCCAGGTGCTGTCTACCATTAGGACCTTGGACTCTTCAGTCCCCCAACATTGTGAGCCAAAGAAACTTCTTTATAAAATATTCAGCCTTTAGTATTTTAATAAGGAATCCAAAAGGAAGAGCCTGAGAGTCGGAATTAATGCCGTTATCGACTAGAGTCATGGAGTGTTGGATTGTGTGTGTGTGTGTGTGTGTGTGTGTGTGTACTCTGGGCTTGGGCGCTGTCCCTGTGCTCTTTAGCTTAAGGGAATACTCTACCTCTGGAGCCACAGCGCCACTTCTGATTTTCTGGTGGTTAATTGGAGATAAGAATCTCTCGGGCCAGGCGCTGGTGGCTCACGCCTGTAATCCTAGCTACTCAGGAGGCTGAGATCTGAGGATCGCGGTTCAAAGCCAGCCGGGGCAGGAGAGACCATGAGACTCCTATCTCCAATAAACCACCAGAAAACTGGAAGTGGCGCTGTAGCTCAAGTGGTAGAGCGCTCGCCTTGAGCTGAAGAGCTGAGGGACAGCGCCCAGGCCCAGAGTTCAAGCCCCACGACCGACAAAAAAAAAAAAAGAATCTCACGGACTTTCCTGCCTGGGCTGGCTTTGAACTGTGATCCTCAGATCTCGGCCTCCTGAGTAGCTAGGATTACAGGCATGAGTCACCAGCGCCCGGCTTCCACTTTTATCTTTAGCATAGCTGCCAGTGGTAGGCAGGGGTCTGAGCTTGGTAGGAGGCTCATCAAGTATTAGGCAGGTAAAAGTACTGATGGGATAAGCAAGGAGCAGATTCCCAAGGGACAAGTAAAATGAACCTATAGCATCTGTTGTGGTACAGATTCCCAAGGACATAACCAAATCAAACACATCTTCATGCCATTGGTATTGCCAGCAGCTGCCTAGTGTTCAGTGATGTCACTGCTGGAAGAGGGTTGAGACAAAAAGAGATAAATAACCCTAGGGGACAGGGAAATAGGCTGGTGACTAGAGACCAGACATGCAGCAGAGACTAAGGGAGTCCCTTGGCCTCCCAGAAAACATCTTTGTGCTAGAAATAATCCAATCCTTTCCTTCCCTTTCTTCTCTCATCCCTTTTTCTGGGACTCCAGTTGCCCATTTTCCTTTCTTTTTATTCACTAATTTTATGTAAGTAACTTGTGATAGAACTGGGGCTTGAACTCAGGGTGCCCTGCTCTTGATTAGCTCAAGGCTGGCCGTCTAACACTTGAGCCACACCTCCGCTTCCGGTTCTTGCTAGTCAATTTTCAGATTTGTCTGCTGGGGCTGACCTCCAAACACGATTCTCAGATCTCAGCCTCCTGAGACCCTAGGATTACAGGCGTGAGCCACCAGCACCCCCCTTTCAGTAATTTTTTTTTAAAATTGAATCAAGAAGACCTGGTGCAGCTTATGGTCAATATGATCGTGTAGAAGATGCAGAGTAAAATCCAGGTGGACCGGGGCTTTCTCCCGGCCCTGCCAAGTGCTCCCCCCCATTCCCTTAGGTCACAGAAGGCAGGCGGCGCCCGGCTTGCTGCAGGGCGGACTGGGCAGGTCAGGGCAGCACCCGCTTGAGCGGTCTCCTAGCGACATGAGAGGCGGCGCAGAAACCGCCAGCCTCGGCCTGGCAGCGGTGGTGCAGCCGAGGGCACCAAGGCGGCGAGTCTCGGGTGGCGGCTGATCCAGCCCGGGAAGAGGCCCGCGATGCCTGAGGACATCAACTACAGGCCCAGGTGAGCGCGGCACGCGCGCGACCCGGGCGCATCCCGCAGGTGCCGCGCGGGGGCGCCGGGATCCCGGGCTTGCAGGGCTGGGATGGGGCTTGTTGGCTGCCTAGGACTCTTTCTTCCCCGCCCTCTGCGCCTGTGCGGAGATAATGAAGTGTGATAGCCAATGCTTCACCGTCCTCCTGGCAGAGTTATCCCCAACTCACCAAAGAGTACTCCCCCAGTCCAGAAGAGAAACTGAGTCCAGTCTGATGTGGAGGTTGCCCCAGCCTAGGCCTCAGCTCTCCTGCCTCCAGCCTACCTTTCTCCGGGTTGGCCTCAGACACCAATGGGCTTCGTGAATTCTCTGTCCAGTGTAAGGCATCTGTGAGCACCGGGAAGTTTTGGCCTTTCAGCTGGTGGCTCTGGCCAAGCAGAGCCCTTGGTGATGGTGGTGGTGATGGTGGTGGTGATGGTGGTGTGTGGGGGTGGGGGGGGTGGGGTGGGGGCCTGAGGTCCTGGGAATGCTGGCTGCCACTTTGAAGGGTTGGTGTCACAGACACCAGGCAGGAACAAGGCGCTATCTCGTTTTGCTGATGGCATGATGGCTTACTTGGAGACAGTTCAAAGGAGTGGCTGAGATGCTGAAGAATCCGGAGCTGCTGAAGTCTAGATTCAGGAAGGCCTGCGGCAAAGGCCAGGTTTCTTGGCTTGCTTGCTGACCTGAGACAATTTAGTTGTCCCTTCTGATCTCCTTAACTGTGAAATGGGGCGGATAGAATGAATCAGATTTATAGTCATTTTGAGGCCTGAAAGACACAGCCTTGTAAGCCTGTCAACAATACACAGTATGCACTATATTTATGTTAGCAATTAAGAACTCTTTAGGAGTGGGGAGCTGTTGGCTCATATCTATGATCCTAGCTACTCTTGAGGCTGAGATGTGATGATCTCAGAAGCCAGCCTAGAAAGAAAGTCTGTGAGACCCAACGCCAATAAACCAACAAAAAGCTAGAAGTAGAGCTGTGGTTCAAGTGGAAAAGTAAATCTTTAGGAGTTCTTTTGCCCCTTATTTAAAACCTTTATGTTTAGTGCTGGATGCTGTAGCTCAAGACTGTAATCCTAGCTACTTGGGAAACTAAGATCTTAAAGATTGTGTCTGAGGCTAGCTGGGCCTAGCAGTAAGCTCCCTTCTCTAGTTCATTACTCCCTGGTTTACAATCTCAGCTCTACTGCTTCTTATTAGGAAATCTTTGATGATGTTTTATTTATTTATTTATTTGCTGGTCGTGGGACCTGAACTCTGGGCCTGGGCGCTGTCCCTCAGCTCTTCAGCTCAAGGCCAGTGCCCTACCACTTGAGCCACAGCACCACTTCCAGCTTTTTCTGCTTATGTGGTGCTAAGGAATCGAACCCAGGGCCTCAGGCATGCAAGGCAAGCGCTCTACCACTGAGCCACCTTCCCAGCCCCTGTTTATTTTATTTTTGAACTTTTTTGTGCTTCAATTTTTTAAGCTATAAACAGAAACAATACTACTAGTACCTTCTTCATAGGTAAAACTTAAATAGAATATTTAATACTTGTCAAAACTCCATCCCTTCTTGGTTCTGGTACTGGGATTTGAACTTGGGGCCTGACAGCTGTTCCTTAGCTTTTTTTCCTTCAAGGCTAATGATCTACCACTGGAGCCACGGCTCCACTTCTGGCTTTTTTTTCTGGTTGACTGGAGATAAGAAGCTTCTAACTTTCTTGCCTGGTCTGACCTGCTTATGTAGATATGTCCTTCATGTCAAACACTTAGAGCAGTTATAAAGGAAGTTCTTCATTTATGTGAGCTATTATAATTTTTAATAAAACACCATGAGGACCAAGTGACAAATTTACCCTGATAGTCCCCTAGACTACTATTTTGCTACCTTTCACCTCCTGTGATCCATGTACCCACCCCCCCAATGTGACTGCTATGTTGTCTTCTAGGAAGAAAGAGCACCTGCCTTCCAAGTGTTTCACATGGCACAACAGGCTGAACAGCCAGCGCTGGGTGTTTCTGAGCGAGGGGCTGGAGGACTTCAAGAAAGTTTGTCCACCACACCGAGGTCTGACCACCACTCAGGGCCCCAGGGAAGGCTTTCTGCCCTGGATTCATCACCGAACCCCCAAACCAACCCCCAAGAAAAGGCAATATGAGTGGCCCACCAAAGCAGCCCTGTACTCCAAGGTGGCACTGGCCCCTCAGTCGCAGAAGACACTCATAGAGAACAGGGAAAGCCACCAAGCCACACATCCCCTGGCTCTCTACCCACACCTGGAGGAAGCTCTGCCTGCAGAGGTAATCCTCCCTTTGGCCTGAAGGGGGCGCTGCACTGGGCTCTGAACATCATTTTCTCTGGATGTCCAGGAAACACTTGGGAGAAAGGCGTGTTTATGAGGTGGAGGGATGGCCCTAGGGAGGGGGCTGTCACAGGGATGTAGGGCTGCCTTGCTTTCTCTGGCCCCAGGAAACACAGGCAGCTACATTCAGTTGCTCCATTTGCTTCCAGTGAAGCCATTGAATTGGCAAAAGTTCAGGAGCTCCTCAGTGTGCTTCACAGTGCTCCTTTCAGAGCAGGAAACTGACATCAGCCGCGGGTGAGGAGGTGTCTTTGAACACTCACTAGCTGAGAGACAGAGCCGAGGGGAACCTGGAAGTCACGTGGAAAAATCTACCCAATTGTCAAGGCTAGTTCTGGCATGTCACAATGTCCTGGGCTTCTGATGCTCAGCTCCGTAGTCCTTAGTGTATGTCTCTTGTCCTTATGGCATTCTGCGGGGATAGGGACAAAAGTGACAGGGTAGGTGCCAGCACTCTCTTTCAATGAACACATTTTGGCTTTCTCTGACAACAGCTCATACATTTGACCTCCACCGGCAGCCAACAAGTCTGAAATTGCATTTTGTAGTTGAGCACTGACGCTTTGAACAAAGCTCAGGTTGCATTAGAGTTCAGGAAAAGGGCAGGAGGGATAGAGCAGGGAATTAGCAGCCCAGCTCCACTTCAGCAGCCCATTTGTGCTTGGTGCTGTCTTCTCTTGCGTCAGCTTTGCTCAAATGTGTCCTCCTTGCAGAAGCCTGTGTGCAGTACCACTGGCCTTCTACCTGCTCCTCTGCCTTTACCATCTTCCACTTCACATCAGGGCCCTTGTCACCTCTGCCCCCTCCCCACTGGGGCAAAAACTCTAGGAAGGAGGGGGGCTCTATGAGCACCTAACCCCAGGACTGTTTGAGGCCTGAGAAAGCATTTGGTACATGATGGGACAGACAAGTATGCTTCTTGAATTCAGGTAATTGAATTCAGCTATAAATGGTTTTGAATGAATGAATGACGTGATCGGTGGCAGACAAGCTTATAGAAAAGATGGCTGGATTGCTGACCAGTTGCCAGAAATCTGGGGCTTTCTTTCCTTCACATCTCCTATAGGCCATGGCCATGATATGGCAGAGAGCAGGGACATGCATGGAGCTATGGCTTTCATTTCCATGCCTGACTTCTCAAAGCAGGAGTGCTGCTGATTTTCTTTTGAAGCAGGACCTCTGTGTGTGTGTGGTGTGGTGTGTGTGTATGGTGTGTGTGTGTGTGTGTGTATGGTGTGTGTGTGTGGTGTGTGTATGTGTGTGTGCGGTGTGTGTGTGATGTGTGTGGTGTGTGCGTGGTGTGTGCGTGGTGTGTGCATGTGGTGTGTGCATGTGGTGTGTGTGGTGTGTGTGTGTATGTGGTGTGTGATGTGCGTGTATGGTGTGTGGTGTGTGTGTGTGGTGCGTGTGTGATGTGTGTATGTGTGTGTGTGGTGTGTGGTGTGTGTGTGGTATGTATGTGTGGTGTGTGTGTGTGTGGTGTGTGTGTGGTGTGTATGGTGTGTGTGTGTGGTGTGGTGTGGTGTGTGTATGTGTGTGTGCGCGCGCGCGTGCCCGCGCTACTGCTAGAGTTTGAACCCAGGGCCTTTTGTTCTCACAGAGCTTTGTCACTCAAGGCTGGTACTCTAACCCTTGAGCCACACCTTCCCTTTTTGCTGTTTAATTAGAGATAAGAATATCTCAGATTTGTTTGCCCAGGCTAACTCTGAATATAATTCTCAGCTCTCAGTCCACAGGTATGATCCACCAGCACCTGGTTTAGGGCTTTTTTTTTTTTTTTTTTTTCCCCAGTTGTGGCCTGAAGTCTGGGCGCTGTCCCTCAGCTCTTCAGATCAAGGCTAGCGCTCTACCACTTGAGCCACAGCACCACTTCTGGCTTTTTCTGCTAGGTGGTGCTGAGGAATTGAACCCAGGGCCTCATGCATGCATGGCAAGCACTCTACCACTGAGCCACCTTCCCAGCCCTGGGCCTTTTTTTTTTTTATGGTATTGACATATAGTAAGTGCTATTCACTTAGCAACCCTAGCAGAAAAGGAGCACCTCTTTTTTTTTTTTTTTTTTTCTTCTCTTGCTGGAAAGTCCATAGCCTAATTTCCATGGATCTGATATGATCCCAGATATTCCTAAGCCATGCAGTGGGTGTGAGGTCTGGCCTGCCTCTGGATGAGGTTTGGTCAAATGAGACCAGAGGGTAGAGGGAGAAATGTTCTTCCCAGGAGGAGGGGTAGATGGTGGACTGTCAGAATCCATAGATGTCTAAGAGATACATTTCACCCAGTGGGGTGGGGACCAGGTAGGCCTGTCTACATATATACTTGTCTAGAGGAACTCTGCACAAAGCCAGGACACCTCATGTTCAGTGGGGCAGAGCTTCTCCCAAAACCCAGCACAGGTGAGGCATGGAAGTTGGTGAATGACATTGACGAACGGCGAGGGAAACAAAGCAGCAAGTGGGTCTGTGTTGCTTTAGCCCGGTGTCTTTTTCCAGCCCAAGTTTTTTCCTCTTGGTAAAGCTGTTTTCTGTTTGCAGCTCTTATTAAAGGTGCTGGAAGTGCTTGATCCTGAGAGGAAGCTGCAGGAAACCTGGGCTTATTGTCAGGATGCCAGGGAAAGGATGGAGGAACCCACAAAACTCTTTTTAAAACCTTCTACCCAAATGGACCCAGCACTGTGAGTGTTCTTTTTTTTTTTTTTTTTTTGGTCGGTCGTGGGGCTTGAACTCTGGGCTTGGGTGCCGTGCCTCAGCTCTTCAGCTCAAGGCGAGCACTCTACTGCTTGAGCCACAGTGCCACTTCCGGTTTTCTAGTGGTTTATTGGAGATAAGAGTATCACGGACTTTCCTGCCCGGGCTGGCTTTGAACCGGGATCCTCAGATCTCAGCCTCCTGAGTAGCTAGGATTACAGGCGTGAGCCACCAGTGCCCAGCCTGTGAGTGTTCTTAATGCCTTGCTCCTGGCTATTATGTAGGAGCATTATAGAATTTCCTTCTCCTCATCTTCAGAATAATATTAAAGAAAAAAAAAAAGAAAAGTAGGGGTTTGTTCTGAATGTTACTTATTTGTTAAATGGATTCTATTTATCTCGGAACAGAGCAATATAGGTGCTCATTTGAATCTGGTTAGGCAGGAAAGGAACTGCAGAAGATCTCTTAAATTGGTATAGAATATGTCTTGAATAATTTATGGGAGAAACCCATTTATTCAATAGTGGTTGGTTGGCAGTAGTTGGTTGGATAATCACAAAAAAATTAAAATACAAGGAAATACAGAAAATGACACATATATAATTGAAATATTTAATTTTATTTATCCTAAAGCATACGTACTTGGAAGTTTTTTCCTTTTTCTGGAACTAGGGTTTGAAGTCAGGATCTTCTGCTTTCCTGGCTGGTACTCCACCACTTGAACTACATCTCCAGTTTTTTTTTTTTTTTTTTCTGGTTATTTTGGAGATGGAGTCTGTTGGACTTCTCTGCCAGCCCTGGCTTTGAATCTCTACATGGCCAGGTCTCAGCCTTCTGAGTAGCTAGGATTATAGGAGTGAGTCACCAGTACCTGGCTCACTTGCTAGTTTTTAATTGGAAGCCTTGAGGGTCTACTGCTTGGAGCTTCTGTTCACCTTTCTTGCATAAAGCACACCAATAAAGTCCCCTTCTCTGGATATTTCCAAAGCCCTGTGCTTAGTAGAAGCATCTCTGTTTTATAGCACAGTCTTGTTTTCAAATTCACATATTATTTAAATAGTATAAATGCCGGGTATAAATAGAGTTAACTTTTGGGGTGTTGCAGAATGGGGAGAGCTAGAAAGTAGCTTAACTGTAGTACCCTGAATGAAAGTTGATAGGAGCAGGACTCAGGTCAGCTTTTTGGGAAGGGCTCTGCAGAGCTTTATGAGTCACATGATCTGTCTACATGGAGGTGAACTAAAAGAAAATCCACTCTATTAAATTACACATGCTGGGTCTGGGAAGGTGGCTCAGTGGTAGAGTGCTTGCCTTGCATACCTGAGGCCCTGGGTTCGATTCCTCAGCACCACACAAGCAAAAAGAAAAAAAGCTGGAAGTGGTGCTGTGGCTCAAGTGGTAGAGCGCTAGCCTTGAACTGAAGAGCTGAGGGACAGTACCCAGGCCCAGAGTTCAGGCCCCACGACTGGACCCCCCCCAAAAAAATTAAGTAAATAAATAAATTACACATGCTTACCAGGCACCAGTGCTCATACCTCTAACTGTAGCTATTTAGGAGGTTGGAGATCTGAGGACTGTTGTTTGAAACCAGTCCAGGCAGGACAATTTATATACAATTAACCACCAAGAAGCCAGAAGTGGAGTTGTGGTTCAAGTGGTAGAATGCTACCCTTGAGCAAAAAGGCCAAGTGAGAGCGAGAGGACCTGAGTTCAAGCCTCAGTATCAGCACACACACACACACACACACACACACACACGATTAAATTATATGTGCTTGGTGAGAACTAAGGAGACAGAACTCTTTTGTAGTGACATTCCTGCCCTTTCAGTGTGCTTCCTGGTAAACTTGGGGAGAACAGCTGCTCATTTCAGTTTTAGTTTTGCATTGAAGGCAAGAGGCTAGGTAAAGCATGAGTTCCTCTATTCCTCCGCTTTAGGGGGTATCTGCCGCAGTCCAGTCTGTAGGGGAGGGATAGGAGAGTTCATAGTGTTGGGGTTTTAGGTAACAATTGTCTTGAACCTACAGCCAACTCTACAACATAGCTGTTGCTAGTGACAAAAGTGACATTTTGGCTGGGTGTCGGTGGCTCAGACCTGTAATCTTAGCTTCTCAGGAGGTTGAGATCTGAGGATTACAGTTCAAAGCCAGCCCGGGCAGGAGAGTCCATGAGACTCTTATCTCCAATAAACTACTCAGAAAAATCTGGAAATGTTGCTGTGGTAGAGTGCTAGCCTTGAGCACAGAGAGGCTCAGGGACAGAGCCCAGACCCTGAGCTCAAGTTCCAGGACCAGGAAAAAAAAAGGGACACTTTGGCTTTGTGTTCATTCTTTTTTTTCAAGTTGCCTCCAACCTAGGTGAGGAAGAGAGAGGAATGTTTAATGTAGAGATCTGTGGTTAATAAATACCTACATATACATATATAATATGTAATATATTAATACATTTATATATGTGTATGTATATGTGATCCTCCTTTAACCTTTGGCAGTTTCTTTGGTTAAGCCTACAAAAATCTCCAAGGCAAGAAGTTACAAATGAATGGGTTATCTGTTAAAAGAGGAGAGTATTCATATATTAATGAATTATGTCACAACATAAATGTGTACTTATGTAATGGTAAGGTTTTTTTATTATATTTTTATTGTAAAGATACTGTACAGAGGGGTTATAGTTACATGGGTAAGGTAATGAGTACATTTCCTCTTGAACATTGTTACCTCCTCCTTTGTTTTTCCCCAGCCATCCCTTTCCTCCCCTCCCCAACTCCTCCTTTCTTTTCCCCACCCTCCAACCCCTGAAGTTGTAGAGTTCGTTTTGAACATAGTGTCTTGTACATCTCATTGTTACAATGAGTCAGCCTGTATCCTTGTTTGAACATTTTCTTATTTCCCTTCCCCAAATTAGGAAAATGTATATACAAGATGCAGGACACCGGAATCAAATCAGTGAAAACAGTGGTGGTTATACCATGGGGGAAGAACAAATGAAAAAAAAAATCACACAGTACATTATAAGTCCATTAAAAACAGCAACAAAGATAAAAATCTCTTGTGTTTCTATCTTCGGGTTCATTTCCCTTCGCACCATCTTGTATGGCCATATGTGCATAGCTTTTTTTTTTTGGGTCTGGTCATGGGGGCCTGAACTTTGGGCCTGGGCGCTGTCCCTCAGCTCTTCAGCTCAAGGCTAGCGCTCTACCACTTGAGCCATGCTGCCACTTCCAGCTTTTTTTTTCTTTTTTTGCTTATGTGGTGCTGAGGAATCGAACCCAGGGCCTCAGGCATGCAAGGCAAGCACTCTACCACTGAGCCACCTTCCCAGCCCTCTGTAAGACCTTTTTTTTTGAACTCTGGGCCTGGCTACTGTCCTTCAGCTCTTCAGCTCAAGGCTAGTGCTCTAACACTTGAGCCACAGCACCACTTCCGGCTTTTTTTTTCCTTCTGCTTATGTGGTACTGAGGAATTGAACCCAGGGCCTCATACATGCAAGGCAAGCACTCTACCACTGAGCCACCTTCCCAGCCCTATGTGCATAGCTTTTGACCTTTTCTACCTGTCCGGTAAGATTCTCCTTAGACATATACTAGTTATTGCAAATAAGGGAAACCATGGGACCCATGTTTCTTTGGGTCTGGCTTACTTCACTCAGTATAATTTTTTTCCAAGGATCTAGCTTTACTTTTCTACAGTGTTTAACCAATTTTGCCAGCACCATTTATTGAAGAGGCTGTCTTTCTTCTATTCTATTTTTCAGCTTCCTAGTTGAAGATTAGGTGGCTATAGATCTGTAGGTTCATTTCTGGGTCTTCAGTCCTATTCCATTGGTCTTCAGGTCTGTTCTTGTGCCAATACTAAGCTGTTTTGATTACTATGGCTTTGTAGTAGAGTTTGAAATTTGGTATTGATATTCCTCCAGCACTGTTCTTTCTGTTAAAGATTGTTTTTGCTACTCAGGGTCTTTTATTGTTCCATATGAATTTTTTAGATTGCTTCTTCTATTTCATTGACGAATGAGGTTGGGATATTGATAGGTATCACATTGAATTTTCAGGTAGCCTTTGGCAGTATTGCCATTTTCACAATGTTGCTCCTCCCAATCCAGGAGTCTGGGAGGTTTTTCTACTTCCTTAGTTTTGCTTTAGTTTCCTTTTTCAGGCTTCTAAACTTTTCGTCATAGGGGCTGGGAAGGTGGCTAAGTGGCTAAGTAGAGCGCTTGCCTTGCATGCATGAGACCCTGGATTTGATTCCTCAGTACCACATAGGAAAAGTTGGAAATGGTGCTGTGGTTCAAGTGGTAGAGCATTAGCCTTGAGCTGAAGAGCTGAGGGACAGCGCCCAGGCCCAGAGTTCAGGCCTCACGACTGGCCAAAAAATAAAAATAAAATAATTTTTTTTTTTTTTTTTTTTTGGTCATAGAGGTCTTTCACTTCTTTAGTTATCTCCTATATCTTTTTTTGTGTCTGGGGCTATTACAAAAGGAGTTGCTTTCCTGATTTCAGCAGCACTCTTCTCCTTGTTGGCACAGAAGAGCCATTGGTTTTTGAGGGATAATTTTATACCCTGCTACTTTGCCAAAGTTTCAAATCAGCTCGAGTAACTTGGGAGTGGAGTCCATGTGGTTCTTTAAATACAAGATCATGTCATCTGCAAAGACGGGGAGTTTTACTTCATCTTTCCCTATTTGGATCCCCATTATGTCTGCATCTTGACTTATTGCTGTAGCTAGGCATTCTAATACTAGATTGAAGAGAAGTGGAGAGAGTGGACAACCTTGTCTTGTTTCTGAATTGAGAAGAAATGGCTTTAGCTTTTTGCCACTAAGTATAATGCTGGCTGTAGGTTTGTCATATACAGCCTTTATTATATTGAGGAATGTTCCATGGATTCCTAATTTTTCCAGAGTTTTCATCATAAAGTGGTGTTAGATCTTGTCAGATGCTTTTTATGCATCTATTGAGATAACCATGTGGTTCTTATCCTTGCTCCTGTTGATGTGATGAATAATATTAATTGATTTGCATATATTGAACCAGCTTTGCATCCCTCAAATGAATCCTGTTTGATCATAGTGTATGATTTTTTTTGTTGAATTGTTGAAGTCAATAGGCCAGAATTTTATTCAGAAGTTTTGAATTGATGTTCATCAAAGAAATGGGTCTATAGTTCTCTTTCTTTGATGAGTCCCTGCCTGGTTTTGGGATGAGGGTTATGATGGCTTCATAGAAAGAGTTTGGTAGTAACTTTCACTTTCAATTTCATTGAAAAGTTGGAGGAGTATTGGTGTGAGTTCTGCTTTGAAGGTCTTGAAGAATTAAGCTGTAAATCCATCCAGTCCTGGATGGGAGGGCTCTTATTGCTGCTTCTATTTCGATGCTTGATATGGGTCTGTTAAGTTGATTTAAAGCATCTTGGTTTAGTTTGGGAATGTCAATATTTGCTTGGGGCTGGGAAGGTGGCTCAGTGGTAGAGCGCTTGCCTTGCATGCTCGAGGCCCTGGGTTCGATTCCTCAGTACCACATAAGCAAAAAAAAAGAAAAAAGCCGGAAGTGGCACTCTGGCTCAAGTGGTAGAGCGCTAGCCTTGAGCTGAAGAGCTGAGGGACAGCGCCCAGGCCCAGAGTTCAGGCCCCACGACCGGACCCAAAAAAAAAAAAAATTTGCTAGAAATTCTTCCATTTCTTCCAGATTCTCAAACTTATGAGCATAAAGGTTTGAGAAATATACCCTTATTATGTTCTGAATCTTGGTTGTTTCTGTGGTGATGCTTTGTAATGGTAAGTTTTTTCTGTATTAGTCTCCTTTGATTGCTGTACAAACAACACAAACGTGCTGGCTTAAAATTTTATTATGTCTCAGCTCTGGAAGTCAGAAGGCTGAACTCAGTATCACTGAGCTGAAATCAGAGTTGGCAGAGCCATCTTTCCTTCAGAATATCTAGGGGAGAATTAATTACTCACCTCCTCCAGCTCCTGATGGCTGCTCACATTCCTTGGCTTGTAGCCACAGCACTCCAGTCATCAGGCCCAGCAACTTTATGTCACTGTCTGCTCTGTCTTCATATTGCTTTCCCCATCTTTGTGGTCTTCCTCTGCCTCTTTCCTATGAGGACACTTAGAACCTCATTGAAGGCCCACTTAAATAATCCAAGGTAATCTCCCCATCTCAAAAGCTTTAACTAAATCATACCTGCAAAGACTCTTTCCAAATAAAGGAACACTTAGAGTTCCAAGGATTAGCGCTTGATCTCTCTGGCAGCCATTATGGGCCTACTACAGCATGAGGTAATACCTCTCTTCTCCATCACATAGTCTCTCCTTACCTTAGGATAAAATCCCTTTTAAAAGTGTCAGTCCTTCCAACCTCACTCTTTCTTTCTTTTTTTTTTTTTTGGGGGGGGGGCCCGGTCGTAGGGCCTGAACTCTGGGCCTGGGCGCTGTCCCTCAGCTCTTCAGCTCAAAGCGAGGCGCTCTACCACTTGAGCTACAGCGCCACTTCCGGTTTTCTGGTGGTTTTATTGGAGATAGGAGTCTCACGGTCTCTCCTGCCCGGGCTGGCTTTGAACCGCGATCCTCAGATCTCAGCCTCCTGAGTAGCTAGGATTACAGGTGTGAGCCACCAGCGCCCGGCTGATGTTCAACTTTTACTTGGTTGAATTGAAGTTTTGCAAAACTTTATTTAGGATGTCTTGAACTGTGATCCTCTTGATTGCCACCTCTGAGTTTAGCTGGGATTACAGACACTAGCCATCATGCCTAACCCTAAATGGAACTTTGATTTCTTCCTGAAATCTATTTCTCGTTCTGTCTTTCCTTGCTCAGTAAATAGCAACTCCATTCTTTCAGTTGGTCTTAGAACAATCTGACCACAGATTGTAATGATTTTGTGTTTGTAGCCTAAGGTCTAACCTCTCTACTACTAGTAGTCCATTCCAAGATACCAGCATCTTCTGCCTGGATTATTCTAGTAGCTTACTAACTGATTATGGCCTCCACCCTGGCTCTCCTCTTTTAAGTCTACTTGTCATTTGCTAAAATACTTAAATAGTGCCATTCTTGTGCTCAAATTTTTCCCATTGCTTCCTTATTCTGACTAAAAACCCCAGTATCCTCTCTCCAAGTATACTGGACTACAGTTGTGAGCCATTGTGCTGGCTTCAGAATTTAGAAATGGTATATTTTCCTCTAAATCTATAAAATAGCATTTATCAAATAAAAAAAAGAAATGGTAAATTTTATGAGTATACTGGCAGACAAATTGATCTAAGGTGTGTGTGTGTGTGTGTGTGTGTGTGTGTGTCTATGTGTCTGTGTGTGTCTGTGTGTGCCAGTTATAGGTCTTGAACTCAGGGCCTGGGTACTGTCCTTGAGATTCTTGTACTCAAAGGTAGTGCTCTACCACTTGAGCCACAGCTCCACTTCTGGCTATTTGGTAGTTTAGAGGAGGTAAGAGTCTAATACACTGTCCTGCCTAGACTGGCTTTGAACTGTGATCCTCAGATCTCAGCCTCCTGAGTAGCTAAAAATACAGACATGAGACTTTGATGCCTGGCTCTAAGTTTTTTAAAAAGCCATTATTTGAGGAAGCTAAATATAGTGACGTGTAATGAATTTGTGCTCACTGGAGAAAATAGACTGGGAAGTGGAGACAGAGGAAATATAAAGAAAGAGTAATGAGGAACCTTTTGCTATAGTCCAGAGGGAAAAAAATTCTAAAACCAGCAAGTGCAAGTGGCTCACACTTATAATCCTAGCTGCAGAGGAAGCTGAGATTAGAGGACTGCCATGCCTGACTTGTTTGTTAAGATAGGGTTTTGCTAACCTTTGGCCTGGACTGGCTTTAACCTTCAAGCCTCCTATTTTCTGCCTCCAAAGTACTGGATTTAGAGATAAGTGTCAATGTACCCAAACCAGAATATAATCTTTGAAAAATTAAAATACAGTTTGTAAAGGTTTGTAAGAGACTGCTAGAAATATTTGCTTTAAGATCTCCTTTTTCCAGGGTATGGATTGGAATCTACCTCAGTTCATTGTGTTTCATATTGTAACTTTGTACTGTCATCACTTTTAGTTCCAACAAGGCTCCCGTGTTGCTTCCAGGACAGTGGCTTTATAAAGAAAAGCCACATGAAATGGATTTGGTCCATGAAGACGGTCCTCGTGTTCACAAAAACGTCCTCAGAGGCGTCAGAGACTTCTGCAACTGGACTACAACTTTGGTAAGTTACTAGCAGTACATCTACCTGCTATTGAAAGTCAAGCTCAAAAGTGGTTAAAAAAAAACAACAGTGCATGAATAAAATCAGTTGAATCATCAGAGTCATGAAAGAATTAGTTGCTTCCATCACTTATAATAGAAATGTTTCTAGTGGATGAAATTTCTGGAAAGTTTGCAAGCTTGAAGCTAGTTTGAATATTTGATTGTATCTTATAACATGGTTGCTTCATATTTTAATTTTCTTTCTTTCTTTCTTTCTTTCCTCCTTCCTTCCTTTCCTCCTTCCTTCTTTCCCTCCCTCCCTCCCTCGCTCCCTTCCTTCCTCCCTTCCTCCCTCCCTCTCTCTCTCTCTTTCTTTCTTTCTTTCTTCCTGTAGTGGGGTTTGAACTCAGGACCTTGTACTTGCCAAAAATGGTGATTTACCACTTGAGCCACACCTCCATCCCTTTATAGTATAATTTTCTATGTTACTACTATGTTACTTTTTCCTACTCCAATTCATGTTTATCAGTTTACTTAGCTATAAATACCTAGGCAGCTATGCTTTTGGTTTAGTTGTCCAATCTTTTCCTTGCCCTTTTTTCAAACGGATTATCTATCTATCTATCTATCTATCTGTCTATCTATCTATCTGTCTATCTATCTATCTGTCTGTCTGTCTGTCTATCTGTCTATCTGTCTGTCTGTCTATCTGTCTACCTACCTAGATATCTATTATCTATCTATTTTTGCTGGTACCAGAGTTTGAACTCAGGGCCTCAAGCTTGCTCAGCTTGCTCAGCTGCCAGTGCTCTGCCACTTTAGCCGCACCTTCGGCTCACTTCTAAGAAACCATTTGGTTACTTTTTCCTGTTTCTGAATCTCCTAGATGTTTAGGTTCCTCATGCTGTTTCTTGATTTAAGAACTTCTGACAGGGGCTGGGAAGGAGGCTCAGTGGTAGAGAGCTAGCCTTGCATGCATGAGGCCCTGGGTTCGATTCCTTAGCACCACATAAGCAGGAAAAAAAAAGCCAGAAGTGGCACTGTGGCTCAAGTGGTAGAGTACTAGCTTTGAGCTGACGAGCTGAGGGACAGCGCCCAGGCCCAGAGTTCAGGCCCACGATCAGACCTCCCCACCCCCCCCAAAAAAGAACTTCTGACATTTATGTATACCTCACATTGGTGTATCAGTTTTAGTCAATAGACTGCACTTTAGACACCAATAGAGTTCACACTGGTTTAAAGGACAAAATGGAGTTACCCAGAAGTATTAGGAGACTCAGGCACAGGGGTGGATACAGGTGTTGAAATATTTTTAAGGACTGTCCCTAGCTCTTGTTGACCAATCTCTCAAGGTCTTTTCCTGAGAAATGTCATAAAACCTAGTCAGTAAAATCTTCCTGCCTTCCAATTCTTTCCCCCAGCCCTCTCCTTCCTTCTTTCCTTCCCTTCCCCTATCTTCTCCTCCTTTTCCTCCCCTCCTCCTCACCCTAAGTGGAAAGAGTGAGATTCTGTCAGTATTCAGCCATATCACAGGGGACAGTTAGACTATAGATTGGATGCTCTTAGTGTGTCCGTCTCTACCCCCACCAACTTCGGCTGGCAAAGGAAGTGGGGAGGGTTATGTGTCACTCACGTACAACACATGGCTGACAAAGATAGCCTCCTTCAATGGGGCTCATGGACATTGCCATGTCTACGGGAGTCTGGAAAATACCTTTAGAGGTATCACGGAGAGCAGTCCTGGACATGGCCATTTGACTGTGATGTCATGCAATGTTGTTGTTATTATTGTTGTTTTAACTGAGCCAAAAGAGCTGAGTTTTATTGACAGAGGAATAAACGCAGAATTCTCACAAAGACAGCCCAGCTGAGCTCCTTGGTCTAGGGATTTTGTGAAAGCTTTGACATATTAGATGATCTGTCCTCCCCTTGCTGGTGGACTAACTCTTTGCTAAGGGCCACCAGGCTAGTCATGATACCTTTAAACCTGTTCTTTAAGATTGATTTATCTGAAATATAAGTCTTGACATTCTTGTTTATTTCCTTTTGATTATTAATTAATTTATTTATTTATTGTTGGTCGTGGGGCTTGAACTCTGGGGCTGGGTCCTGTCCTTCAGCTCTTCAGCTCAACACAAGCACTCTACCACTTGAGCCACAGCACCACTTCCGGTTTTGTAGTGGTTAATTGGAGATAAGAGTGTCACAGACTTTCTTGCCCCAGCTGGCTTTGAACCTCGATCCTCAGATCTCAGCCTCCTGAGATTATAGGTGCCACCAGTGCCCAGCCTTCTTTTTATTATTTATTTATGTATATTGTTACTATGAAGATGATATACAGAGGAATTACAGTTCCATAAGACAGAATTTTTTTTGAACAATATCACCCTTCCCTTGCTCTCTCCCAGTTTTCCCCTCCTGTCCCCACCCACAAGTTGAATAGTTCATTTTCAACATAGTGTCTAGGGGCTGGGAAGGTGGCTCAGTGGTAGAGCACTTGCCTTGCATGCCTGAGACCCTGGGTTCCATTCCTCAGCACCACATAAGCAAAAAGAAAAAAGCCAGAAGTGGCGCTGTGGCTCAAGTGGTAGAGCGCTAGCCTTGAGCTGAAGAGCTGAGGGACAGCGCCCAGGCCCAGAGTTCAGGCACCATGACCAGACCCCCCCTCAAAAAAAAGAAAAAAAAGAAAAAATATAGTGTCTAGTAAGTATCACTGCTGCACTGGCTTACCCTTTGTCCCTACATTTTTTTTGTCATGGGGCTTGAACTCAAGAGGCTGGGTGCTGTCCCTGAGCTCTCTCACTCAAAGGTAGTGCTCTACCACTTTGAGTCACAGTTCCACTTTTAGGATTTTTATAATATCATGGAGCCTCCAACCTCCCTGTGACCTCCTCCTAATCTTGCCTAACCAGTTTTCCCTGGCAAAGTAGTTCTGGCTACTTCTTGATAGCTTGGGGCTTCAAATGTGACAATTAGTCAGGATATTCTCCAGAGCATTTATCTAGGGGTCCTGGGACTTTTGTTGGAGAAAGTCATTTTCATTACCATATACAGATTCATTTATTTTAGGCTAAGGAAACAAACTTGGTGAAAACATTAGCAATGTAAGTACCAATAAGGAGGTGGGGAATTTGTGCTTCTCTGCATTTATAGAAATCTATAGAATCTATAGGAAACAGGCTAGGTACCAGTGGCGCATGCCTGTAATCGTAAGTACTCAGGAGCCTGAGATCTGAAGATTGTAGCTAGAAGTGAGCTTAGGCAGGAAAGTCTATGAGACTCTTATCTCCAATAAACTACTTTTTTAAAAAAGTTGGAAATTGAGGTGTGGCTCAAGTGGTAGAGTGTTATCTTTTAACAAAAATATCAGGTATAGGGGAGGGAAGGGATAGGGAGAAAACAATAAGGGAGAGGGGTAACAATGCTCAACAAGAAATGTACTCATTCCCTTACTCCTGTAACTGTAACCCCTCTGTACAGCATCTTAACAATAAAATAATTTTTTTTAAAAGAAAGAAATAAAAAAAAATCAGGTATAGTGCCCAGGCCCTGACTTCAAGCCCCAGGACTGACACAAACATGAAAGAAAGGAAAGAAAGAAAAATAAAAGAGAAAGGAAGGAAGGAAGGAAGGAAGGAAGAAAGAAAGAAAGAAAGAAAGAGAAAGAAAGAAGAAAGAAAACAAAAGAAAGACAGGGTGGGCTAGAAATGTGGCTTAGCAGTAGAATGCTTGCTAGCATGCATGAAGCCCTGGATTCCATTCCTCAGTACCACATACACAGAAAAAGCCAAAAGTGGCACTGTGGCTTAAGTGGTAGAGTGCTAGCCTTGAGCACAAGCAGCTCAGGGACAGTGCCCAGGCCCTGAGTTCAAGCCCCAGGACTGGAAAAAATATATAGAAAAGAAAAAGAAAAGAAGGAAAGAAGAAGGGAGGAAGGAAAGAGGGAGGGAGGGAGGGAGGGAAAGAAGGAAGCAAGGAAGGAAGAAAGGAAGGAAGGAAGGAATGTGAGTGTATGTTTCTATCCAGATGGAGGGTAAACAGACCTTGGCATCAGGCATCACCACACTTTGGGTTTATCTCCTCTCAGCATCTAGACTTTAGCGATTTTAGAAAGGGAAACGAGGAAATATACAACTGAGGGGCCCATCAGCTGCACTGGACATTGATGGAAACGAACTAAGCAACTCAAGGGAGGGAATGAGAAGGAAAGAGGGAAGAGCTTACACTAGGTAAAAGGAAAGAAATGTACATATCACCCCATGATATAGAAATAGTTGTATTGTCAAAGCTCATAGAATTCACAAACATTATAGACCATGATAATGACAGAGGTGGGGGGGGGGGGTTCAGAACATCTTGCCTCTGCTCTCTCTTGCTCCTCCTAGTGTCCATAGCCTTCCCATGATCCTAGAGAGGAATTGCAGGTGGGACCTGATTAACCAATCAGATCACAACCCAGAGTTTAAGAATTCTTAAACTTAGAGCTGCTGGGTCAGACAGAGGCTGAAAGACAAAAGACACAGGTACAGAGAGAGCACATGAAGAAAAAAGGATGAAGACTTGATGAACAAACACCGTGATGGACAGGCAGAGCAACAGTGGCGGCAGCAGACGTTGAGCTAAACACTGCTCTGCTGAATAAAGTTCTTCACACCTATCCTTCATTGTCCCAAACTTCATTTGTTGAAATTCCTCAGACAAGAACCTGAGCAGACTCAGCCCTGGAAGCTCAGCAGCCCTGGCAGTGATGTTGCATCCCTGGCAGGCATTGTCTGATACTGAGCTACAGTGCTAAACAGGCGTTGCCTGCTACAGGGATGCAACCCTAGTGGTCGCTGCTAGCTGCTGAGCCGGAAAGGTTGTGTGAACTCTGCCTGCCACAAGCAACAACAAAATAGCCTTTATTCATGAGGTACTCTGAAATGCTTTTCAAATGTGGATCATAGAGATCTGGGAAGCTCTCATCCATCTGTGGGTTTGATTTACTTTTCACTGAAGATCGACAATGTTAGCCATTGTTAATGCCTTTAGTCTATCTTTGTAGAGAAATGTTTATTTTCATGTATTTGTCCATTTTTTATTTTTTCACATTTTTATTAAAATCAAATAGCTGTAGAAAGAAAGAAAGAAAAGAAAAAAAGAAAGAACAAAAAGAAAAGAAAGAAAGAAAGAGAGAAAGAGTGAAAGAAGGGCAATCATTAGTGACTCCTTGGAATTTGGCAACATCCCCTCCTGTATGAAAGAGTTTTTTTCCCAGCTACTTGTGTGGTCCCTTGTTACTAGGATAAGCTTTGTCCCAGTAGGTCTCTCCAGACTGCGGAGATGTGATGTCCCAACTGGTCTGATCTCACGTTGGAGGAGGGTGGCAGGTGGCAGTGGGTGCCAGTAAGACTCTTTTTGTGCAAATTTAGCCAACAGAGAGATGAACAGAAATAGCTCCTAAAAGCAGGGCTCACCTAAAGTCCATACAGTTTAGAAAGCTGGGGGAAAGTAAAGGAAGGGGTGACATTGTCCCCTCTCCCCAAAAAAGAAATGTCCTCACTACCTAACTTACAAAATGGCAGCCCTCTGTACAATACCACCATAATAACAATAAAATTATATTTTGAAAAAGTTTGTAAAGCTAACCAGGTTTGACAAAGAAGTACTTGTAAGAGCCAGCATCTTGGGGCCTGACCACAAATGCTCCAATGAGGGACCCACTCTGCTACGATAACAGAATTAGAGAGTCATGGTAATTTTTTTTTTTCCTGTCGGTCGTGGGTCCTGAACTCTGGGCCTGGGCGCTGTCCTTCAGCTTTTCAGCTCAAGGCTAGCACTCTACCCCTTGAGCCACAGTGCCACTTCCGGTTTTCTAGTGTTTTTTTTTTTTTTAATTTTATTTTTTTATTGTGAAAATACTGTACAGAGGGGTTACAATTACATGGGCAAGATAATGAGTACATTTCTTTCTTTTTTTTTTTTGCCAGTCATGGGGCCTGAACTCAGTCTGGGTGCTGCCCCTCAGCTCTTCAGCTCAAGGCTAGTGCTCTCCCACTGGAGCCACAAGCGCCACTTCCAGCTTTTTCTGTTTATGTGGTGCTGAGGAATCGAACCCAGGGCCTCATGCATGCAAAGCAAGCACTGTACCACTGAGCCACCTTCCCAGCCATGAGTACATTTCTTATCAAGCATTGTAGCCTCCTCCTTTGTTTCCCCTTCCCATCCCTTCCCATCCTCCCCCCGCCCCCCCCCAATCCTCCTGGCTAACACCCCCCCCCACCCCCGCACCAAAGTTGTAAAGTTCATTTTCGACATAACGACAACGACTTGTACATCTCATTGTTGCAATGAGTCCACCTGTATCCCTATTTAAACGATTTGTTTTTCCCCTTCCCCTCCATCATCAAATGTCCCCTCCCCGACATCAAATATAGTGAAAGCAGGGGTTATACTGTGGGGGAGGTTCTAGTGGTTTATTGGAGATAAGAGTCTCATGGTCTTTCCTTCCCGGGATGGCTTTGAACCGTGATCCTCAGATCTCAGCCTCCTGAGTAGCCAGGATTACAGGCGTGAGCCACCACGTGAGCCACCGGCGCCCGGCTGGTAAATATTTCTTAACAGATAGTAATTAGTTAAACAACCTAGTTATTTCCATTGCATGCATCATTTTAGTAATTCAGATTACCAGCACAAGACCACAAAGTTTTTCCTCATTACAATGAGAAAACCATGCTGGGCACCAGTGGTGCCCTTAGTCACAGATATAAAAAGACCCATAATCCTAGCTAATCAGGAAGCTGAAATCTGAGATTGCAATTTGAAGCCAGCCCAGTAAGATTCTTATATCCAATTAACCACCAGAAAACCAGAAGTGGCACTTTGGCTCAAAGTGGTAGCTCAGGGACAATGCCCAGGCCTTGAGTTCAAGTCCTACAACTGATCCAAAAAAGTCAGAAGGGGAGACATGGCTCAAGTGGTAGAACACCTGCTTAGCATGTGTGAGACTGTGAGTTCAAGCTCTAGTACTGAAAAAAGAAAGAAAGAAAGGAAAGAAAGAAAGAAAGGAAAGAAAAAGAAGAGAAGGAAGGAGGGGAAGGAAGAAGGGAAGGAAGGAAAAGAAGGAAGGAAATAAAGGAAAGGATATTAGAAGGTGTGACTGTGAGCAAAGTACATTATATGCATGTGTAGGAATGTCATAATGAAACTTCATGATTAATAAAAAGAGAGGAGAAAGTGTTTGCTTCTGATTAAGTAGGCTTTACTTTCCTGCTCTGAACTGTCTGTTGAGGTACTGACAATGCCCTCCACTCTCCAAGTACTTCCTTTATGTTTGGTTAGTTTTGTGCCAGTCCTGGAGGCTTGAACTGAGGGCCTCAGTGATGTCTCTTAGCTCAAGGCTAGCACTCTACTACTTGAACCACAGCTCCATTTCCAGCTTTTTTTGGTGCTTAATTGGAGAGAAGAGCATTATGGACTTTCTTGCCTGGGCTGGCCTTGAACCATGAGTCTTAAATCTCAGCTTCCTGAGTAGCTAGGATCACAGGCATGAGTCACCTGCACCTGGGCTCCAAGTACTTACCTGCAGTACATGCTGCCCCCACCTCGCGCTGCCCCCCCCCCCCCCACGCCATGACAGAGGAATCCATTTGTACTCAGTGCAGGTACTGTGGCTCTTCCAGGGAATTCCGGACATCCATGAAGAGTTCATCCTGCAACAATTTGAACTTAAGAGCAAACAGAGCTGCGATGTGCTCCACACGACCAGGCTAAACCAGGTTCCTCTGGAGCCAAAGAAGTACAAGAACCTGCAGGACACAGGATTCTTCCAGAAACCAGATCAGAAGAGGAAATTCCAGAAACCCCAGGTGACTGCAGAAGGGAGCCTATTGAGAAAATCTAAGCTAATTAATTCAGATGCTTTAAAGCCCTAAATATCCCTGAATTCTGCTCCTGCTCCTGTGCCAACCCCAGCAGCATTGAATGCCAGCAACTCACCATCCACAGAGCCCTCCAGGTGTTTCTAGCTTCTTCTGCCATCTTCTCTAAGCTCTGTGTGTGTGTGTGTGTGTGTGCGCGCGCGCATGCACGCAGACACACACCCACACCCACCCACACACACACACACACACAGGGGCACACACTCAGCAGCCCTCTGAGCAAAGGAGGATGTGATTGTGATATGTTTTCTAAGTGACTGAAAATGGAGGCAATTCTGTTCACAGCCCAGATGTCACTGTCTTAGAGGTACTACAAGCGTGTGCTCTCTGTGCAGGTAACTCTCTTTTTTCTATTAGTATGTGCTGTAAACTTTAGGTGGCTTGGTCTCCCTGGAATCCTCAGTTCAGAGAATCCCCTGGGCTCTTGCCAGTCTTCCTTGCTGTGTGTGATCTGGAATCTCTTGCCAGGCAGTGAGCTGGCTGCAATTATGGCACTTACCTTGTTTGTTGCTGGTCCCTGAGGGATCATCAGCTTTTGTTCCCTGACATCCAGGATCTTGAAAAACATTGGTTTTTTTTTTTTCCTTATTGGTTTTCTTCTTTCCTTTTTCAGATGTTTTAGGTGAGAGGGTCAATTCAGTCCCTCATGTAGAAATAGAAATTCCCATCTTAATTTTTCTCCTTTATGTAGAATTCTCAGAACTGTGGTCCTCTGCTTTTTGCTTATTCTTTTTTTTTTGAGAGTGGGGTCCAGTTGTAGGGCCTGAACTCTGGGCCTGGGCGCTATCCCTCAGCTCTTCAGCTCAAGGCTAGCGCTCTACCACTTGAGCCACAGCTCCACTTCTGGCTTTTTTCTTTTTGCTTATGTGGTGCTGAGGAATCGAACCCAGGGCCTCATGCATGCAAGGCAAGCGCTCTACCACTGAGCCACCTTCCCAGCCCCTTTGCTTATTCTTTAAAGGCCAGCTTTCCTGCTATCTTAGCTGTGTTGAGTGAGTCCTGTCTGAAGTTGCCATCTTCCCAAGTGATGTCCAGTATGCTTTCAGACATAGAGCATATGCTAATCTCTCCACACAGAGATTTTTTTCCCCAGGTTCCCTTATTGACATTAATTTGTTCTAAATTCTAATGCACTCTTTGCTCTAGCTTAGCATATTTCTCTTTGCTCTGTATATCCATTCCCCCACCAAACATTGGTGAGCATCCATGTGTCCAAAGTGCTGGGCGCAAACCACACAGTAATGATCCTTCACGACCATCCCAGGAGACCACATGGAGGCAGGCAGGCACAGGAGAAAGATCATTCTAAGGTTTATTAGAGGGGCCATGTCTGCTGGGAGAGGGAGCACGTGTCCCTATTCAAGTGGCAGGTGGTTCTGGGTCAGGTAGTGAGGTGGGTGCATGCGCAGGTGGGTCTGGGTGGAGAGAGGGAGGGGCCAGCTGTATTGCAGGAACTCTAGGGCAGGGAGGAGCTCAGGTCTAGGTGGAGCTGAGGACTAAAGGTGGGGATTATACTAGCACACACAAAGCTAGGAGACAGCTTCTGGGGTCAATAGGAAAATGACTAATGGTGGCAATTCCACCAGGCATGAGATGGGGCCATTCTAATAAAGACTTTATCTTCCTTAGAAAAAAAAATCTGTGTGTGTGTGTGTGTGGTGTGTGTGTGTGTGTGAGAGAGAGTACTGAAGCTTGAACCCAGGACCTAGGCACTGTCCCTTAGCCTTTTTGATCAAGGCTGACACTCTCTCACTTGAACCACAGCTCCACTTCCAGCTCTTTGGTGATTAATTGGAGATAAGAGTCTTATGGACTTTTCTGCCTGGGATCCTAAGATCTCAGCTTCCTGTGTAGCTAGGGTATCAGACATGAGCAGGTCCAATAAAGACTTTGGAGAAGAAATCTTTTATGCTGAATCTTGATAGCTCAGCAGTTAGCCAGCAACAGTACATGTTCCAGAACCCAGTTCTTCAGTGTAGCACTAATACCAATACTGGTTTTCTCCCCTCCTTTCACTCCTTCTCTCTTTTCTTTTCTTCTCTCCTTCCTTTAATTCAGTGGTTCTCAGACAAGGGATATTTTGCCCTTTTCCCTCCTCTTAAGACATCTGACAATATGTGGTAGTGGCATTTTTGATGGTCACAACTTGGGGTACTGCTGATGTGTTTTGGATAGATGCCAGGAATCCTACTAAATGTCTTACCAGGCATAGGTGAGCCATTTCCCCCTAATCCTGAATATCAATAGTGCCAAAGTTAAAAAGCCTGATTTTAATTTAACAAATATTTATTGAAAAACTATTTTATCTAGATCCTGAGAGATATAACAGAGGACAACCTTCAAAGCTTGTATTTTACAGGATGAGAGGAGATGCAGGCAAAGATTCAGAAGATATATAGTAGATTATTGGTGATAAACATCATTCAGGAAAAGTGAGGCTGCCAGGCACAGGTGGCTCATGCCTGTAATCAATCTTAGCTCCTGAAGAGGCTGAGATTTGAGGATCAGGGTTCAAAGCCAGGCTGGGCAGGAAAGTCTGTGAGACTCCTATCTCTAATAAACAACCAGAAAACTGGAAGTGGTACTGTGTGGCTCAAGTAGTAGAGCTCTTTCCTTGAGCTGAAGAGCTGATGGACAGGACTCAGGCCCAGAGTTCAAGCCTCAGGACCAACAATGCATAAATATACATGCATGCATGCATGCATGCATGCATACATACATACATACATACATGCGCACATACGTACGTAAGTACATAAGTAAATAAAAAGAAAAGTGAGGCAAAGGCTGGGATGTGGCTTAGTGGTAGAGCCCTTGCCTAGCATGCATGAAGGCCTGGGTTCAATTCCTCAATACCACATAAACAGGAAAAAAAAGCTGACTGTGGCTCAAGTGGTAGAGTGCTAGCCTTGAGCAAATTAAGTTCAGGGATAGTGCCCAGAACCTGAGTTCAAGCCCCAGGACTGGCAAGAAAGAAAGAAAGGAAAGAAAGAAAGAAGGAAGGAAGGAAAGAAGGAAGAAAGGAAGCAAAGACAGAAAGAAAAAGGAAAAGAGAAAGAAAAAGAAGGAAGGAAAGCATGGAAGGGAGGAAGGAAGGAAGGGAGAAAGAAAGAAAGAAAGAAGAAAGAGAAAGAAAAAGAAAGGAAAGAAAGAAGAAAGAAAAGTGAGGCAAAGGCTGGGAAGGTGGCTCAGTGGTAGAGCGCTTGCCTTGTAAGCATGAGGCCCTGGGTTCGATTCCTCAGCACCACATAAGCAGAAAAAGCTGGAAGTGGCGCTGTGGCTCAAGTGGTAGAGCGCTAGCCTTGTGCTGAAGAGCTGAGGGACAGCGCCCAGGCCCAGAGTTCAGGCTCATGACCGACAAAAAGAAAGAAAGAGAAAAAGAGAGAAAGAAAGAAAGAAAGAGAGAAAGAAAGGAAAGAGAGAAAGAAAGAAAGGAAAGAGAGACAGAGAGAAAGAAAGAAAGAGAGAAAGCAAGAAAGAAAAAAGAAAGAAAGAAAGGAAAGAAAGAGAAAGAAGAGTGAGGCACGCAGGTCACGGGTGGCTCATGCCTATCATCCTAGCTACTTAGGAGGCTGAGAACTGAGGACAACAGTTTGAAGGCAGTCCAGGCAGAACTGTGAGACTGTTATCTTCAGTAAACTATCAGTCAGAAATGGAGCTGTGGCTCAAGTGGTAGAACACTAGCCTTGAGCAAAAGAAGTCCAGGGACAGAATCTAGGCAGGAGGGTTGGGGGGTGGGGGAGAGAGAGAGGAGGGAAGGAAGGAAAGAAAAGAAAAGAAAGGAAAAAAGAAAAAATTGAGACCAGAAACTGGGCACTGGGACTCATGCCTTTAATCCTAGCTACCTGGAGGCTGACATCTGAGGATTGCGAAGCCTGCCCAGGCAGAAAAGTATGAGACTCTTCTCTCCAATTAACCACCAAAATGCTGGGAGTGGATGTGTCACAGAGAGCCAGCCATGAGTGAGAAAGCTAAGAGGGAGGCCCCCAGTCCTTAAGTTCAAGCCATAGTACTGGCACACTCACACACACACACACACACACACACACACACACACAGGACAGAAGGAAAAGGAAAGTGCAAAGGACATGAAATAGGTGAATGTGTGTCTCTTGAGGAAGCACTTCTCAGCGGAAGCAGCAGCCACTGCAAAGCACTAGGGAGTGTGGCGTGTGCGCAGGCACAGCAAGGCGTTGTGCGCTTGCAACACTGTGTGCAGCACAGCTCTGTGCTCCATGGCCTTCTCTGTGTTTTGAATAGACATATCTGATGGAACTCCTGAACATCCCCTACAATCATGACTCCATAGTTTAAATGTGAGAGAGAGGAGACCAGGAGAACTGTGGCTTCCCCCAAGAGTTAAGTCCCCTTTGTGAAGAGACAACCTGTGGGTGCTGGAGCCACAGCATCAGGCTAAGGACCAACAAGAGGCTCCCTTTACAGTCTGGGTGTGCTATTGAGGGTGTCTAAGAGTTCCTCCTCCTCGTCTCTCTTCTCATTATAGACACAAATGGATGCATTGAAATTTGTGTATTAGCAGGTGCTAGTGGCTCACGCCTGTAATCCTAGCTACTCAGGAGGCTGAGATCTGAGGATTGTAGGTTGAAGTCAGCCCTGGAAAGTCCATGAGACTCATCTCCAATTAACCACTAGGAACTGGAAGTGGAGCTATGGCTCAAAGTGACAAAGCACCAGCCTTGAGCAAAGGAGCTCAGGGACAGTGCCCAAGCTCTGAGTTCAAGCCCCATGACTGACAAAAAAAAAAAAAAAAAAGGAAATAGTGTACTTGTAAGGCAGAGCATAGTACTGGGCCTAGAATAAGTCAATATTTTGATTGGCTGAGATATGTAGCTGATTTATGGCTGTTTTACTATAACCTCCCCTGTAATTTTTTTTTTTTTGGTCCGGTCGTGGGGCCTGAACTCTGGGCCTGGGCGCTATCCCTCAGCTCTTCAGCTCAAGGCTAGCACTCTACCACTTGAGCCACAGCGCCACTTCCAGCTTTTTCAGCTTGTGTGGTGCTGAGGCCTCATGCATGTGAAGTAAGCACTCTACCACTGAGCCACCTTCCCAGCCCCTCCCCTGTAATCTTTGATGCTGTGTGGGAGGTACTCTCTCATGAAGCGTTTCAGCATCTCACCCACGGACTGGCCCCTGCTATGGGGAGGAAGCCTGGATTTGAACCTAGGTCTGTTTAAAGCCAAAAACCATATTCTTGACCATTGTATTATTTTCATAATTATGTATATTTTTATGTGTCTTTTTGCAAAACCAAAGCCTGTGGAAACTTTATGACATTCTTTAGCAGGGACTAAAAATCATAATAACCATTTTTATAAGCTGGACCTTAGATTTTTACTGAAATAACCAATCAAGAAAAACATCAACATCAACAACAAAACATCATAAACATTAAAACAATACCATCAACAACAACATAACTACGGACCCTGGGATTTTGTTGCTTTCTGCAGAAATCTCCTAAAGCAAAGTGGGTGAAGATGCGCTATGGAGCCTGGTACCTGCACACCAACTTGTGGAAAAAGCTAAGAGCTGATGAACCCTTGCTGGACCCCAAGGTCTACTGTAAGGCACAAGATGAGCGGCTGAGAAGGGACCTTGAGCAGCAGGTGTGTATGTATGCTGGGATCTGATCATCTAGACTGACCTCTGTATCCTATACATTACCTCTGAGGTAATAGGGGCTCCCCAAGTCTTACAGACTGCACCTCGAACTCAGAAACATGATAGGCCAGTGACATTGTGGGGGAGGAGTAATTAGCAGGACTTGAAATCTGGCTTTCTGGTGAACTCCGTGTCTCTAAAGATGAGATTGCCACTCATGGTACTTTACCATCCCATAGATACTTGCTCCAAGGGCAGGTGAGCTGGTAGGATCAGCTCAGTGCTTAGATAGGATGTCATAATTACCCGCTTATTGTGGGGGTAATTAATGGGAATCCTATTTTCTATCAGCAAGAGACAAATATCAAAGAATTCAGAGTTTCAACTGGGTTTTTTTTTCTCCTTTCTTCCTTCTCTGTCTCCTTCCCTCCTCCTCCCTTTCTCCTCTTCTCCCTCCCCTTTTCCTCTTCCTCTTCTTTTCCCTTCTTCTCCCCCTCCTTCCCCTTTTCTCTCCCTTCCTCTCTTTTCTTTCCCCTTTCTCTCCCTTCCTCTCGCTCCTTTTCCCTCCCTCTGTCTCCCTCTCCTTTCTCCTTCCTCCTCTCTCCCTCTCCTGTGGGAGTACTGTGCCAGTACTTGAACTGTGCCACAGGCTTGAACTCAGGGCTTGGGTGCTACCTCTCAGCTTTTTTTGCTCAAAGGCTAGCATAGCACCACAGCACCACTTCTGGGTATTTGTGGTTAATGGGAGATAAGAGTCTCATAGGCTTTTGCCCCAGCTGGTTTCGAACTATGATCCTCAGATCTCAGCCTCCTGAGTAGCTAGGATTATAGGCGTGAGCCACTGGCGCCCAATTTGGGAAATTTCTTCTATACCATTCAGCAAAATCACAGGATCTGTCTGAGAGGAAAAGGACAAAGGTTAGACACTGAGGTTGCAGCAACACACACAAAGATCTGCTTTGATTCTCCTTTAGATAGGCTCTCTACATGCTCATCTCTGTGTCCCCATACTTTATGAAAACATGATAGTCACCTAGCTCTGGAAACGTGGAAATGTCATGCAACACATTCTTAGCACTCAGATCATTGGGGAGCCTCTACTTTGATTCAATAGACAGAAAAACGTCTCTCAGATGACAGATACTAAAACACCTTGAAAAGGTATGCAAGTAATCTGTAATCAGTCCCCATTTTCTTCTTTATATTGGGAAGCCAAGACAGTGATGGGGGTCATTTTTAGCTTTTCCAATGCAAGACATAAATTCTTATTTTCTATGTGACACAAATCTGTGAGTTCCACATACTTCTTTTTTTTTTTTTTTTTTGTCGGTTGTGGGGCTTGAACTCTGGGCCTGGGCGCTGTCCCTCAGCTCTTCAGCTCAAGGCGAGCACTCTACCACTTGAGCTACAGCGCCACTTCCGGTTTTCTGGTGGTTTATTGGAGATAGGAGTCTCACGGTCTCTCCTGCCCGGGCTGGCTTTGAACCGTGATCCTCAGATCTCAGCCTCCTGAGTAGCTAGGATTACAGGCGTGAGCCACCAGCGCCCGGCTCCACATACTTCTGTAAATTTCAAAATAATATAAAATCATGTTTAGCATAATTGTTCAATGTATGGTTCTTAGAACTGCCTAAGTTTATGGAAATTTAATATGTAACATAAAATCACATAAAATTATACTAGTTGCACTATGTGTGTGTGTGTGTGTGTGTGTGTGTGTGTGTGTGTGGTTTTTTTGTGGTGACAATCCTGGGGCTCAAACTCAGGGTGATATTCCTGAGCTTTCTTTGTTCAAGGCTAGTGCTCTACCATTTTGAGCCACAGCTCTATTTCCAGCTTTTTTGGTGCCTAACTGGAGACAAGGGTCTTACAAACTTTCTTTTTCTTTCTTTCTTTTTTTTTTTTTGGGGTCCAGTTGTGGGGCCTGAACTCTGGGCCTGGGCACTGTCCCTCAGGTCTTCAGCTGAAGGCTAGTGCTCTACCACTTGAGCCACAGCGCCACTTCTGGCTTTTTTCTTTTTTTGCTTATGTAGTGCTGGGGAATCGAACCCAGGGCCTCATGCATGCAAGGCAAGCACTCTACCACTGAGCCACCTTCCCAGCCCATTACAAACTTTCTTCCCCAGGCTTGCTTTGAACTGCAATCCTCAGATCTTTGCCTCCCAAACAACTAGTATTACAGTTGTGAGATATCAGCTTCTAGTTTTGCTTTTAAAAGTAACAAACTTTAGCTACTCAAGATGTTAAGATCTGAGGATAGTGGTTCGAAGCCAGTCCGAGCAGAAAAGTTCTTAAGACCCTTATCTCCAATAAACTATCCGAAAAGAACCTCACAAAAGTGGAGTTGTGGCTCAAGTGGCAGAGTGCTAACCTTGAGCAAAAGAAGCTCAGGGAAAGTGTCCAGGCCCTAAGTTCAAGCCCCATGACCAGCGCGCGCGCACGCGCGCACACACACACACACACACACACACACACACACACAGAGTAACAAATTTTTCAAGATGAATTAATTTTTTGTGTGTCAGTACTGAGAGATGAATTAATTTTTGTATCAGGACTGGAACTTGAATTCAGGGCCTAGAAGTTATCCCTCAGCTTTTTTGCTCAAAGCTGATGCTCTACCACTTGGGCCTTGCCTCTGCTTCCTGAATGAAATGTTTTAAGAAAAAAAGATCATTACCAACTTTTGCTTTAAGCTGTGTAGACATTCTCTTTTTAAAAAGTCTATCCTAGCTGGCCACTGGTGGCTCATGCCTGTAATCCTAGCTACTCAGGAGACTGAGACCTGAAGATCACGGTTCAAAGCCAGCCTGGGCAGGAAAGTCCATGAGACTCTTACCTCCAGTAAACCACTAGAAAGCCAGAAGTGGTGCTATGGCTCAAGTAGTAGAGTGCTCGCCTTGAGCTGAAGAGCTGAGGGACAGTGTTCAGGCCCAGAGTTCAAGCTCCACGACCAATAACAACAACAAAAAAGTCTGTCCTTTTGGGTCATTTTTGAAGGCCTCTATATCTATCAAATTGTGAACATTACTTGAATGTACATTCAAAAATGGGAAGGAAAGGTTTGCTTTGGAAAGTGATAGGGAAGTTTATTAGGAAACAAAGTTTCAATGAGCAGAAAGTGAGTCATCTCTAGGGTGAGTATGAGGATGATTTTTACTTTACACCAGTTTTCATTGAAGTGTAAAGGGTTTGGAACATTAAGGACCAGTCCAGGGGGCAGAATCACTGTTCCAAGAAGGGGGATGGGGTACTTACTGACTTACCTTAGACCCTTAGGCCATGGTTTCCTGGCTTGGTCAGGTAAGTTAAAGATCTGTTGTGGCTGGGAAGGTGGCTTAGTGGTAGAGTGCTTGTCTAGCATGCATGAAACCCTGGGTTCCATTCCTCACTACCACATAAACAGAGAAAGCCAGAAATGGCGCTGTGGCTCAAGTGGGAGAGTGCTAGCCTTGAGCAAAAGAAACTCAGGGACAGTGCCCAGGCCCTGAGTTCAAGCCCCAGGACTGGCAAAAGAAGAAAGGAAAAGAAAAAAGAAAAGAAAAAGAAAGATCTGTTGTTTCATAACTATTTTCTCACTGATTTTAGCCTAAAATGAGGCAAATCATTAATCTTTAGGTGAATGGAACACTAAAGCTTCATCTTACACATTCCATGATCTTAGTGAGCCACACACAAAGGAAAGTTTAATTATAATGTTTTCTCTCAGAGGCCTTGTGATCCCATCCTCCATTTTAGCTTTCCTTTGTATTTTTCCATCATTCTTGGCTAATTGTTACCTAACTTGCCCCCTTTAAGGGCCCAAGACTAAAATCTTTCAGGGAATGACTACTTCCTGTTGGTTTGTCTCCTAGACCTAGGTTTGAGGCTTGCTCTCAGTCTATGGGAACAGTTGGGATCCAGGGTTCTGGATGATCCAGGGGAGGCTCATAGAAGAGGCGACATCCTTTGGAGATCATAACTGGCTCTAGTTGTTTCTATGGAGGAGCCATGCTACAGAAACAGAGATAGTGACAGATGGAGACCAGGAAAACACAGCAATCAATACAGCAGCAGAGAAGGATCCCTATGGACGATCACAACCAGGCACAATAGGAGAACACTGCTGTTTTCTTTCACCATGTAACTCTAGACAACAGTGAGGACAGGTGACTCCCAAGTTCATCATCATCAAAGTGATGCTGTCTTAGCTACACTGGCAGGATTGTCTGGAATATGAACTCTCCAGTGAGTCTTGCTTGGGGCACTTGTGCCATAGTAAATGCTGGGAAATGACTGAAACTGAAAACATTCACCTTTCCCTCTGATAGCCATGAAGCTGCCCTTGCCTCAGACCTTGCAGTATTCAAGCAGGAAAAGAAGTTTTATTATTACCAAACTGCTTGGTGGAGGGGCACAGACCCAAAACAGGAAGCGGATGTCTGTCCTGGGTTTAAGTAGGGAAGGGGCAGGGAGAAGGTGGAGGGAGGAAGGTGTGGTTGGGTGACCTCAGGGCCTGAGACCCTCCCTCAGTCTGATGGGGAATATGGGGGGGGGGGGGGAGGAAAGGGAGGAGGGGGAGGTAACTACTTCCAGGTGTGCCAGTTACCTAGGTGATGCAGGTACTGGGCAGAGACTTATGCAGGAGGTGGGAAGGCCAGGGCCTGCATGGCCCCAGCAGACCTTACAGCTACCATTTGTTGGCAGGTTTGCTAAAAACAGACGCTTCCCTATGACTGAAGATTCAGTCTCTGCACAAAGGTCCCCTTCCCCTGTTTCCATCCTGCCCCCTTCCCCTTCCTGTGATAAACTACTCCAGATACCTGCCTAGCCTGGCTAGACTCTGCCTGAGAAGAAGAGACCTCAGCTGTAAGAGAGCCATCATTGTCTGGCATCCCTGGGGCTTTTAGCTGACATGAAAGTCTGTTGGTGTCAGCCTGGGCAGGAAAGTTCATGAGACTCTTATCACCAATAAACCACCAAAAAACTGCAAGTGGAACTGTGGCTCAAAGTGCTAGAACCCTAGCCTTGAGCAAAAGAACTCAGGGACAGCGTGCAGGCTCCTTGATCTATCCCAAAAAAGAAAATGTCCATTGGTCTATAGAGTAGGTTCTGTCCTTTTTTTTTTTTTTTTTTGGTGGTCACGGGGGTTGAACGCTGTCCCTCAGCTCTTCAGCTCAAGGCTAGCACTCTTTCCACTTCAACCACAGCGCCACTTCCAGTTTTTTGGTGGTTTATTGGAGAGTCTCACAGACTTTCCTGCCCAGGCTGGCTTTGAACCAAGATTCACAGATCTCAGCCTCCTGAGTAGCTAGGATTACAGGCGTGAACCGCCGACTTCCGGCTACCCTTTCTTTATTCTAATACCCTCAGGACCTAGTTTCCTTACAGTCAGGCTATCTAGGGCTATCCTGTTTTGAAATGTTCCTGTCTCATCATCTAGACCTTATAGTTCAGTAGAGCAGCCCTTGTGAGCAGTGTCTCTCGCAGATTTATAGCCTGGAGACAGAGGAAACAAACTTGGCTGAAACTCAAACGAGGTTAGGGCCAGTAAGGAGATGGAGCTTCTGGGTGTTGCTGGGAGCTATAGAAATAGTGGATGGTAGAAAGATACGCATGCCAGTTTCTGTGCAGTGGGAAGGGAGATAGGCCTGGGCATCCTCAGGTAATCATGCTGTGAACCCTTTCCTCTCAAACTCTCAGCTGTACTCTGTGAGAGCCCCAAAAGCCAAGCTGTGAGACCGGACAGGATTGGCAGTTTGGACGGTCTTCTCCTATACTCTCTTGGGAGGCGTGACCAGGGACGGCCCAGGATGTGACCTTGGAGGAGGGGAGGTGACTGCTTCCAGGTGTGCCAGTTACCTAGGTAATGCAGGGACCAGGTGGAAACTTAGCCAAGAGGTAGAGAGGCATCTGCACAGGGCCTGCATAGCCCAGGGCAGCAGAACTTAAAATGGTCTCAGGGTTGAAGTGATAGAATACCAGTCATGAGCAAGAAAGCTGAGAGAGAGGAAAGAGCATGAGGCCCTGAGTGGTACTGGGACAAACAAACACACACACACACACACACACACACACATACACAAATTGTTACAGTCAGTGAGATACATGCATATATGTACACATCACAAACTATATACACTGGCATTACTTAAATTTATGTGATCATTCATTTTCTCTTACCCAAAATGTATACTTTGCTCACAGCTTCATTCCTTTTGCTATCCAGATGGATTCCAGGCCTTTAATAACAGAAGAGATCAGCAGCCTAAAGTTGGGGCTAGGCTGGGCTGGGCTGGGCTGGACTTGGGCACAGGACCAGTATGGATCCAATCAGAAGATTTTTTTTTTTTTTTTTTGGGGTCCGGTCGTGGGGCCTGAACTCTGGGTCTGGGCGCTGTCCCTCAGCTCTTCAGCTCAAGGCTAGCGCTCTACCACTTGAGCCACAGCGCCACTTCCAGCTTTTTTCTTTTTGCTTATGTGGTGCTGAGGAATTGAACCCAGGGCCTCAGGCATTCAAGGCAAGCGCTCTACCACTGAGCCACCTTCCCAGCCCCCCAATCAGAAGATTTCTGATGCTGCAGAACACCCCATGTTGTACAGTAGAGTGTGAGAGCCTGATAAGCCAAGCTGTGAGACTGGAAAGGAGTGGGAGTTTGGAAGGCCTTTTCCCAACAGACTCTCAGAATGCTGAGAGTTCCCTGGAAAAGTCAATCCATCCTGGCTTAACAAGAATTCAGTTTTATCCTGGGTGTGGGCTAATTCTATCCTAAACTGCCTGGGAGCCTGGGAGGAGACTAAAGTTTCTGTACTTGGTAAGCTGTTTACTGTTTACCTCTCATTCTCAAGATAAGGAGATCTTCTAGCACTTGCAAACAAAATATTGTCTCCAGTAGAAGTTTTTTTGTTTGCTTGTTTGTTTTGTTTTTGTTGGTCCTGGAGCTTGGACTCTGGGCCTGGGCGCTGTCCCTCAGCTCTTCAGCTCAAGGCTAGCGCTCTACCACTTGAGCCACAGCGCCACTTCTGGTTTATTTTGAATGTTTTGTTGGAGATAAGAGTTTCATGGACTTTCGTGCCCAGGCTGGCTTTGCACCGCGATCCTCAGATCTCAGCCTCCTGAGTAGGTAGGATTACAGGTGTGAGCCACCGGCGCCCAGCTCCAGTAGAAGTTTTTACCTTACATTCTGCACATGATTCCCTGTGGAAAACCAATAAAAACTTTGGAAAATGGAACCTTGGGATCTGAAATTGTTGGAAGGCTACAGGTCCTCTGCTACCCTAAACCCCAATTTCATGGTCTGGTCTTTTTTTGGGGGGGGATCCGGTCGTGGGGCCTGAACTCTGGGCCTGGGCGCTGTCCCTCAGCTCTTCAGCTCAAGGCTAGCGCTCTACCACTTGAGCCACAGCGCCACTTCCAGCTTTTTTCTTTTTGCTTATGTGGTGCTGGGAATCAAACCCAGGGCCTCAGGCATGCAAGGCAAGCGCTCTCCCAGCCCCTCATGGTCTGGTCTTTGTTACTGGCTTGCTCCCAGTCTCGGCCCAGCCCATTAAGAGGCATGTGGCACAACTTTTTTTTTGTTGTTGTTCCAGTTCTAGGGCTTGAACTCAGGGCCTAGGTGCTGTCCCTGTATTTTTGTTCAAGGCTAGTGCTCTACCACTTGAACCACAGCTTCACTTTTAGCTTTTATGGTGCTTAAGTGGAGATTAGAGTCTCATAGACTTTTCTGCCCAGGTTGGCTTTAAACCACTCTGCTCAGATCTCAGCCTCCTGAGTAGCTAGGATTACAGATGTGAGCCATCAGTGTCCCAGCGGCTGGCAGGGAAATGTCCTAATGAGAGAAGACCATACTTAGATTAAAACAGTAGGAGCAGATAATCTTGGGAGGTGGAAGAGTTCCATAAAAGGAAAGGAAAGCCTGGAAATTTACCTTCTGGGAACATTACAATGTTTTTCATAAGGAACCAAAACACCCAACCCTGCTGAAACAAAAGCCAACCCAACCCAAATAGCACTGGACAGGGGAGAAAACAGACTAGAGATCTGAGTAAGAGAAAGTAGGAGAATATGGCTAAGAGCAGAGAGGCTGAAGCATGAAGAGAGACAAAATAATTGTAACAGGGGTGGGGGGGGGGCAGAAAGAATCCACCAGAGAGAGCAAAGTTGAGAGCAGAGAGCTTTATTAGGGTGCAGCAAACTGACCAGCCAGGGACATAGCACAGACTCTGGAGCTGTAACTGTGACCCTGAACCAGCAATGGGATTTAATTTATAAAGACACAAACTGCTAAGCAAGTGGGAGTTGTACATTCCAGAAACATGACATGTGCCCTGCATCCTTGAAGCTGGGGTTTGTTACAAAGATAGCTACGGGAGACTTATTACAAAGATAGCTACAGGTAGATACACAATGTGCACACCGAGGCGTCTACGCCCTTGAAGCAGGAGGCAATCCCGGGGTGGGGTGCGTGGGGTGGGGTGCACGTGTCTCATGGCAGGCGCCATTCTAATTAGGCAGGATATGAGATAGGGCCGAAGTACGTGTGAATGAAATACATTTTAAGGTCTCCCTTTATGGCCTCTCTTTGTTTTTAGTAAAGGGTCAATTTCCTGGCTTCGTTTTCTCACATAGTCCAGGACTTTAACAGTCTAGGAGACCCTTCCCTCTTACAATAATTAAGTTTGCTTCAGCCTCAAATAGGAGGGGAGAAGAAGAGCATCCATGGGTCCAGTCTAAAGGAGACATGTTTACTGCAGTCACAGCACATTTTCTCTTTCTCTCTCCTTTTGTTTCCTTTCATCTTCCTCCCTCCCTTTCTTTCTCTCCCTCCTTCCTTCCTTTTCTCCTCCCTGTATTTCTGCTTCCTTCCCCCTTAGCACCCCCTTCCCCCACTCTCTTCCCCTCCCTTTCATTCCACACCCTTCTTAGTGATACAGGGTTTTACTGTTGCTCAGTCAGACCCAGAACAGATGATCCTCCTGTTTTACCCTCCCAAGTGCTGGAATTATGGGTATGTATCAGTGTGCCTGACCAAGGAAGTGATTTAAAATGAAATACTTTATAAATGTTCTTTAACCTCTTTTAGGAAGAGTTACTGGCACAACTTCATGCAAGCATTGCCTTTAAGAATTTCATCCTAAGCAGAGGCTACAGGATGCCCAGGGTAAGTGTAAGGTATATTAAATAAGTAGGTTTCATTAGGTAGCCAATGAAGAGAATACCACATGCTATTCAGGCAGGAGAAATTTATTTATCGAACTGCTGCCCTCGCCATGCACGGTGGAGAAGCATGGCTGAAAAGGAAAGGGGCGACCCACTCCTGGGCCAGGACTAATCTAGGCCAGGGACCGGAAGAGGTGTGGCCAGGTGGGGGAAAGGTATGGCCACACTGGATCTGGATGTGACCTCAGGGTCTGAGATGCTCCTATGGTCAGATATGTCCAGAGTTGGCCCAGGATGTGACCTAGCAGGAGGCAAAGGTGACTGCTTCTAGGTCTGCCAGTTACCTAGGTAACAGATACTGGGTGGAAACTTAGCCAAGAGGTAGGGAGGTGTCCCCGTGCAGACCTTATAGTAAATAAAACCTTTTGTGAAGCGCTGCTGGGGGGGAGGGAAGCTTCCCAACTCTCAGGTGCTGATAAGGGGTTAGTACCTGGCAATATCAGAGCGCCTAGCTCATTGGCATCCACCCAGACTCGCTACCATGGAGGAAAGATCATGCTTTTCCCAGATAAGGATTGCAAATATTCTACAAATGTGGTTTCTCATTCAGGATGGCTATCCTTTTTATTCTGCCTGTTGGTTTCCACTGTTGTCAGAGGTGTTGTCTTCCAGTCGCTATTTGACTCACTTTCCTTGGATTGGGTGTCCGTGGGACCAAAGTGAAAGAAATCCACATTGGAGGCATTTACCTTGCGAATCCCGACCTCTACTTAACCATTTTGAACTCTCCCAAAGTCTTCATGTTGCCTTCACTCTCGGGGCACATTGCTGTAGCTTGGGTCAGGAGAAAATATGTGGGAAATGCAATTTTATGACTATAAGCATGAGCTCAAGTGGGAACAAACTAGGGAAAAGTTTCACTGCTGGGATTTGCCAGTATCTTCTGCCTTTCAGCCTGTCTTCCATTCTGTCTTCTGTTTTCTACTTCTTTCACTTCTAAAGGGAAGGCCTCGGCCTTCCTCAATCCCATAATGCCCTGCTTCTCACTGGGAAGATCAGAGTGGGAGTTGGCAGAGTGGATCCATCAGCAGGCGAGCCCCCATCCTGAAGAAAAAGGTCCTGTAAACATTTTTGTCCAGGCTAGTCTCAAACCATAATCCTCGTGTTCTCAGCCACCCACGTAGCTAGAATCGGAGGCGTGAACCACTGGTGCCCAGCAAATACAATTTTGTTATTACATAATTGTCCAGATAGTTTGAGACACACTATATAAATATATAATTATGTGGTATTGTTGTAAAGTGACAAAATGAAGAAGCCACATTTTGAGAGGAGTCTTTATTGGCGTGCTAGCAGTCTGTCGGTAGCCAATTATTACAAAGGTCTTCATCCCACAAATATACTTATAGTTAGGAAACAGGCCAGAGAAGAAGGAACACAAACAATACCAACAAATCAATCAGCTCCAATGGAGAGGTCCATGGTGACCACAGCACAACCAGGGGAAAGGACAGGAATATGGAGACACGGGGCATTGTGCCTTGGCATCTGAGCTGTTCTGTGCCTAAACAGGGTCAGGTCAGGGGGCAGGGTCACAGGAAACTCCCAGTCCCAGGCACTGACAGATTTACTAACCTATCAGCCAGATGCTTGCCCCTGCTCCCAGGGATTTAGATATGCCTGTCACCTGGGAAGTAGGACTTCCCCTTCCCTCACCATGAAGACAAGATGCCAGACCCTAACCATATACCATATGGCCAATATGGTGCTGGCCAGACTTATTTGTTCTTATTATGTTTCATATTTCTACCTTAACATTTCCAGTGCATTTCTCCCCACCCCACCCCTTGGTTTAACTCATTCTGTTGATGAGCACGTAGATTGATTTGGGGCAGAAGCAGCTTGGTGAACACTAAGTGTCCTCTTCAGCTGTATTAACACACACAGATGATGCCCCTGCCTACAGCTGAGCCCTCCATGAACACAAGTCACTCAATCCTACAATATTTTATCCCTTAATTCATACTTCCTATCACCTCTATTTTATTGATAAGATCCTATCTCCAACTAACTAGCAAAGTGATGGTTGAAGGATAAATTAAATAGGTTTAATTAGGTAGCTGATGAAGAGAACACCACTCACATTTAGGAAGGAAGAGGAGTATTACTGAACTGCTGCCTCACCTCACATGTGGAGAAGGATGTGGTAGAAGGGGCGACCCATCCCTGGGCCAGGACTTATTTAGGCCAGGGACAGGAAGAGGTGTGGCCAGGTAGAGGAAATGTGTAGCCACAATGGATCCAGATGTGACTTCAGGGCCTGGGACCCTCCTCTGGTCTGATGGGAGGTGTGACCTGGGATGGCCCAGGATGTGACCTTGGAGGAGGGGAGGTGACTGTTTCCAGGTGTGCCAGTTACCTAGGTAATGCAGGTACCCAGTGAAACTTAGCCAAGAGGTAGAGAGGCATCTGCACAAGGCCTGCATAGCCCAGGGCAGCAGAACTTAAAATGGTCTCAGGGCTGAAGTGATAGAATACCAGTCATGAGCAAGAAAGCTGAGAGAGAGCATGAGGCTCTGAGTTCAAGCTCTGGTATTGGGACACACACACACACACACACACACACACAGAAAAAGTGTTACAGTCAGTGAGATACATGTATATATGTACACATCGCAAACTATATACACTGGCATTATTTAAATTTATGTGATCATTCATTTTCTCTTACCCAAAATGTATACTTTCCTCACAACTTCATTCCTTTTGCTATCCAGATGGATTCCAGGCCTTTAATAACAGAAGAGATCAGCAGCCTAAAGTTGGGGCTAGGCTGGGCTGGGCTGGGCTGGGCTGGACGTGGGCACAGGACCAGTATGGATCCAATCAGAAGATTTCTGATGCTGCAGAACACCCCATGTTTTACAGTAGAGTGTGAGAGCCTGATAAGCCAAGCTGTGAGACTGGAAAGGAGTGGGAGTTTGGAAGGCCTTTTCCCAACAGACTCTCAGAATGCTGAGAGTTCCCTGGAAAAGTCAATCCATCCTGGCTTAACAAGAATTCAGTTTTAGGGCTGGGAAGGTGGCTCAGTGGTAGAGCACTTGCCTTACATGCATGAGGCCCTGGGTTCGATTCCTCAGCACCACATAAGCAAAAAGAAAAAAAAAGCCAGAAGTGGCGCTGTGACTGAAGTGGTAGAGCACTAGTCTTGAGCTGAAGAGCTGAGGGACAGTGCCCAGGGCCAGAGTTCAGGCCCCACGACTGGACCAAAAAAAAAAAAAAAAATTCAGTTTTATCCTGGGTGTGGGCTAATTCTATCCTAAACTGCCTGGGAGCCTGGGGGGAGACTAAGGCTTAAGCAACTTGTTAGCTGTTTACTGTTTAGCTCTCATTCCCAAGATAAGGAGATCTTCCAGCACTCGTATACAAAATATTGTCTCCAGTAGAAGTTTAAACCTTACATTCAGCATGTGGTTCCCTATAGGAAACCGAGAGAAACCTTGGTGAACAGAACCTTGGGATCTGAAGCCATTGAAAGGTTGGTTACAGGTCCGGCTGGGGGTTTAGCCCAGAGGAAGGGCGCCCACCCGGCAAGCGCAAGGCACTGGGTTCGGTCCTCAGCCCTGGAAAAAAAAAAAAAGCTACAAAAGAAAGGTTCCAGGTCTCCTGGCTCCTAAGCCTCAACTCTACAGTCCAGTCTGGGTCACTACTTTTTCCCTCCGTTGAGGCAGGCTGTGGGTCCGCAGCAGATTTCAGATCCATGGTGGTTTGCGACAGTAGAGATGTACAATACAGATGTTGTCTAAGGACCAATATCTCTCATAAGCAAATTTACCAGGTGTTAGCAAATGAGCTCCCTTCCCATAGCTTAGTCCATTCCTTCGCCACAGCTAAGCATGCTCCCTTCCTAGGCAGCACTAGGCCATGTAGTAAAGGCAGTAAATAATCAGCCTCAAACCCCCCTTTACCTTGGGATGGCATTTCTCTGGGGCAGCTACCACCATATAAGGCAACAAGAGCCCCTTAGAGTGACCTTCAGGTCGGGGCAGCTGCAGGACCCTTATCTACTGTTTGGACCGAAGCCATAAATCCTAGTCCACCATGATGAAGCCCCTGGCCTGCACATCCACACCAGAGTTTCTGCCTCCTAGCCCCTCTAGCCCCTCTTAGACCTTCTAGGTTATATAGGTCACCCCAGACAATAGCTGGCTCTTCTTCTCACTTCTCCCTTGTGAGAAGGAGTCTTGCCAGCCCCCTTTCCCAGCAATAAACCTTTCTTTGTTCTCTGAACCTGAATATCTGCATGGTTCTCTGGCAAAGTCTAATAAATCTTTTTTTTTTGGTTGGCCGTAGGGCTTGAACTCTGGGCCTGGGCGCTGTCCCTCAGCTCTTCAGCTCAAGGCGAGCGCTCTACCACTTGAGCTACAGCGCCACTTCCGGTTTTCTGGTGGTTTATTGGAGATAGGAGTCTCACGGTCTCTCTTGCCCCGGCTGGCTTTGAACCGCGATCCTCAGATCTCAGCCTCCTGAGTAGCTAGGATTACAGGCGTGAGCCACCAGCGCCTGGCCTAATTAATCTTTTTTAAGCTTACACTAGGATTCAATTTCTCTAGTGTACAATTATATATCAGAGTGTGAGATTTTCAATTTGGGTAGTGGTTACGAGATGGCTTTTATACAATTTTTGTGTGGCAGTCTAATGAAGGGTCTTTTTTTTTTTTTTAGTTCCTTGAGAAGATATACGTTGGAAAGCAAGGCAAATCTGAACTCGATAAGACTCCTCCTAAACTCACTTTGCGCATAGAAGAATGTTGGGCAGATGATGAGGCATGTGTTATTGATTATTGACTCTCACGTTTCAAACATTACATAGAACTTACCGTGCGTGTCCTACTAAGGATGTAAAGCTGACTGCGACACCTCCATAAATGTTAGACCTATTACCTATAAACGTTCCTCAGTGGCTTTCTACCAACTAGGAAGTCAGTATTTGGATATAGTCTTTCTACATTGTTATATTGTGGTGACTATTATGGAAGTATATTAGTTGGTTGTAAAAGTAAATAAAATAAAAATAAAACAGAATTACTCACTTGAATTCTAGCAGGGTATTAATTTTCCCTGGTTTTGAGTGAGTACCTCTTTCCCTTTCTTTAAAATATTTATTTCATGTTGAGTTAAGCATGATAGTCTTGATAATACACTAGTACCTAAAATATAAGGTTATAAACTCAGAAAATTCAATGAAAATGGATATTTCTTAAAAAATCACTTTTTTATGCTAGGAACTGATGGCTCATGCTTGTAAGCCTAGCTACTCAAAAGGCTGAGATCTAAGGATTGTGGTTCAAAGCCAGCCTGGACAGGAAAATCTGTGAAACTCTTATCTTCAATTAACCACCAAAAAGCTGAAAGTGGAGTTATGGCTCAAGTGATAGAGTGCTAACTTTGAGCAAACAAAGCTCAAGGATAGCACCCAGGCCCAGAGTTCAAGCCCCAGGACTGGCACACACACAAAACACTTATTTTTATTAAAAATATTAATGATGATGTTAGGAAAACTAGAAAATATAGACAAACAAAAAGGATATGGAAAATACCAGTAATTCCACTAGAATCAGCAAGCAGCCATAACTCTACTAGTTGGAATAAATTCTTCTAGATCCTTTTCTAAGAAATATGCTCTGGATACTTTAGGCAAAAGAGGAATATATTGAGAGGATATTGCTGTTCCAGAAAGCCAGATTTTGCGTTGGCCTTACCTAGAACAGAACTGAGCTGGTACCCTGGACATCAACACAGAGGTCACCATCAGCACTGGACTCTGTATGAGATCACCATCAGCATCATTGCCACCCGTCCCCGTATGAATTCTGCCCAAAGTGCCTCACAATCTCAGCTGAAGAGTTTGGTGTCACCTGGGTCTAGTGTCTGTGAGGCGAGAGCGGCCTGGGCTTTCCTCATGCTGATGGGAAGGACGCTACCTAATAACAGCTTAGGGAGTCCAAATAGCCCACTCAAGATGGAGTCTCGATGATTAGCCCTTAAATATGCAGTGCTAGCAGGGTGTTGGTGGCTCGTGCCTGGAATCCCAGCTACTCAGATCTGAGGATCGGGGTTCAAAGTCAGCCTAGGCAGGAAAGTCTGTAAGACTCTTATCTCCAATTATCCATCAGAAAACCAGAGTGGCACTGTGGCTCAAAGTGGTAGAGCACTAATCTTGAGCAAAAGAGCTCAGGGACAGCACCCAGGCTCTGAGTTCAAGACCCACAACTAACAACAACAAATTCTGTCTCTGTCTCTCTACCTATATGCAGTACTATTCTACCTCCACCCCTTTTTTCCCCATTACAAAAGCATAGTCTGGAAGCTAAGTGAGTGAACTTGTGCCTAGCAGGGGTAAAGCCCTAGCTTTCATCCCCAGGAGGGAAAAAACAAGACAAACAAATAGAGGATCTTTTTCATTACTACATCAACCTCCAAATACAAAATTACTGGGTGATGTGGCCTTTCATCCTCCAGGCCTGTTATGATCCCATCTGAACAATTTTACCATGAACTAAGTACATTATAAATCTGCTTATCAGGAACACACTGGTGACTGGAAAAGTGATAGGAAAAGAAGAAACTTTTGGAGAAATATGCTAGATATGAAACAGCAGGAAAGCATGCACACTGCTGGGAGCTGGTGGCTCATGCCTCTTCATGGTTCTAAGGCAGCCCAAACAGGAAAGTCCATAAAATGCTTATCCAATAAACCAACAAAAAGTTCAAGCCCCAGTATAGTCACATCCCCCACACAAAGAAAAAGAAAAAGAAAGCATACAAATATATATTCATTTCCATATCTGGTCAAAAGGCTGTTGTGGCTGTATTTAATTTCCTCATCCACTTTCCACTCCATGTTCTTGTTGTTTTTTGCCTTTTCTTTTCTTTTCTTTTCTCTCCACCCCCACTCCCTCTCCTTCATTTTCTCCTCTTCCCCTTCCTGTACTGGGATTGAGCTGTCCCTGAGTTTTTTACTGACGACCAGAGCTCACAGCGAGGCACTGGTGGTTCATGCCTGTAATCCTAGCTACTCAGGAGGCTGAGACCTGAGGATCACAGTTTGAAGCCAGCCCAAGCAAGAAAGTCCACAAGACTCTTCTCTCTAATTAACCACTAAAAAGCCAGCAGGAGAGCTGTGACTCAAGTGGTAGAGCTCAAAGCCTTTATGTAAAATGGGATAGTATTAGAACATAAGCCCACACAAATGCTCCTGTACTATGTGAGTCACGTCTATATTATTTACAATGCAAATGCTATGCATTTTTTTTAACAGGAGAAGAAAAAAAAACCAGCGTATACATTTCAGTCGAGTTGATTGCAGACCCAAATACTCTTTCCCAGTTGGAGCTGTAAATGAGGTCAGGCTCAGTGGTATGCATGAGGCCCTGGGTTCGATTCCTCAGCACCACGTAAGCAAAAAGAAAAAAGCCGGAAGTGGCGCTGTGGCTCAAGTGGTAGAGCGCTAGCCTTGAGCTGAAGAGCTGAGGGACAGCGCCCAGGCCCAGAATTCAGGCCCCATGACCGGACCCAAAAAAAAATTTAAAAAAAAATGAGGTCAGACAATTAGGGGAGCTGGAGTGCTGAACCCATAGTGTCTGTCAACCCACTATTTCATTAGTTTGGCTGCAACATTGGTTTCTTTGCGTGCGCGCGCACGCACACGCGCACACACACACACACACACACACACACACATAATTTATTTATTGCCAGTGCTGGGGCTTGAAGTCAGGATCTGAATGCTATCCCTTAGCTTTTTTGCTCAAGTCTGGCACTCTACCACTTGAGCCACAGTTAGAACAGCTTTTCGGTGGCTAATTGAGTATAAGAGTCTTAGGGTCTTTCCTGCCCAGGCTAGCTTCAAAACCATGATCTTCTGATCTCAGCCTCCTAAGTAAGATTACAGACGTGAGCCATTGGCTTAAGTCTCCTCGTTTAAAATCAGGATGATCTCAATCTCCTAGCAATGTGGTAAGGATTAGAGGAAATGTTACAAGTATGGACAGCAGAACCTGGCACAGTGCACGCACACTAAATGTTAGCTGGCTTTAGAGCTTGGAGGATCAGATAACCCCTTTTAATACTGGAGACCGGTCACATGGCTGTCCACTGTCTCACAATCAGGCTGCTGTACTTGCTACTTCCTAGCAAAAGCCAAGATCTGTTTTCCAAAAGGAGTCACAAGGGTTTATAGTTCAGCTGCAAACCTCTGAGGGCCCACATTAGAATTCTTTCTGTGTGTCTCTCTTTTCTTTTAAAGACTCATCCAGCAGCCCTATCTGGCACTGGTGCTTCAGGCACATTGGCTGCACTAGGCAGAGGACAGAGCTTCCTGGCTAGGCGGAAAGCCTTCTCCCACATGTCGCTCTAACCCTGGCAGCCTCTCAGAGGACTAAGGAGCTGAACCAGCATGTCTAAATCTGGCCACCTTATCACTTTGCAGCCTTTTGGCTAATGTCAAGTGTAAAGCTGCCTTCTAGAATCTGGAGCTCTCTGCTGTGTGGTGTTTCTGACACCCAGACATGATGGACATAAAAAAACACAGGCAGGGAGAATGACTGTATTGAACAAATTGTTAACTAGCAAGTGCTGATGTCTGAATGACTGCTTTTGTCCTAAATATCACTCATGTAGCTGGAAGTGTCCATAATTTAAATTTTAGTCATGGTTGTTTAAGAAACCAGCTCTTTAAATTCTTGAGATTTTGTCAATGGTTTGTTTTTGTCAGGTGTAAAGCTTAAACTCAGTGTCTCTGTGCTATCCCTGAGCTTTTCTGCTCAAGGCTAATGTCTACCACTTTAACCGACAGTGCCACTTCCATTTTCTGGTGGCTAATTGGAAATAAGAGTCTCATAGACTTTCCTGCCTGGGCTGGCTTTCCATTTTCTGGTGGCTAATTGGAAATAAGAGTCTCATGGACTTTCCTGCCTGGGCTGGCTTTGAATCCTGATCCTCAGATCTCAGCTTCTTGAGTAACTAGGATTACATATGTGAGCCACTAGCATCTGGAAATATATTTTTCTTTTTATAGTTCTAGGGCTTGAACCCAAGGCTTTGCCCATACCAGGCAGGTGTTCTACCACCATAGCTTCAACCTCAGTCCTGTCTTTTTGTTGTTGGTGGTGGTCATGGGGGTTGAACTCTGGGCTTGGGCGCTATCCCTCAGCTCTTCAGCTCAAGGCTAGTGCGGTACCACTTGAACCATAGTACCACTTCCCGTTTTCTGGTGGTTTATTGGAGATAAGAGTTTCACAGACTTTCCTGCCCAGGCTGGCTTCAAACCTCGATCCCCAGATTTCAGCCTCCGTGAGTAGCTAGGATTACAAGCATGAGCCACAAGCACCCAGCTTTTTTTTTTTTTTATCTTTAGTTACACAAAGGGGTTTCAATTCAACAAGTCAGATTATGAATACATGGATCAATGTTATCCCTTCCATCATTCTCTCCCATCTTTCCCAGTCTTTTTGTTTTTGAGAAAGTATCTTTCTACCTTTTTGCCTGGTCTGGCCTCTAATTCATGATCCTCTTGTGTCCACTAGGTTTAAAGTTGTAAACCATCAGAGCATTTTTAAGTTACATTAGCAAATTTTAAAATCTGTCTACAGAGGGGATTTCATGGTTACATTTCCATACATGTTTACAATAGATTCTAATCAATCTCACTACTCTCTCCTCCCTTTTTCCCAAAACAATTTCAACACGTTTCATTATTGTATTTCAACTGACTTTTTTTTGTTGTTGTTGTTGTTTTTCATGGGGCTTGAACTCTGGGCCTGGGCACTGTCCCTAAACTCTTCAGC